ACACCACGACAAACAAGAATCCTAACCCTCCCGTCACCCGAGTACAAGCAACAGTGTCACACCAGACCAGAGTGTCACACCAGACCAGAGTGTCACACCAGACCAGAGTGTCACACCAGACCAGAGTGACAAACAGACAATCATCCACACTGGTGCTCTGTCACAAGGAAAACGTCCCAGGAGGTGATTGCATGCACTTGGAAATTTATAACATCTAATCTACAGGAACATGAGAGCATCAAAGTCTAAGTTATGAGCGAGGTAATAGTGGGACCTTTAGATTTGTCTTGAAGACTCAATGATAGCGGTGGTGATGGTGGTGGTGATGGTGAAATAGTGGTGTGCAGTGAATGATAGTGATGTTGGTGGTGATATTAATTGAGTGGTGGTGGTGATAGTGGTGTGGTAGTGAGGTGAAATTGGTGGGTAGTGGTGGTGATAGTAGTGGTGAAGTGGTGGTGGTGGTAATTGGTGGTGTGATAGTAGTAATTTGAACTGGTGATAGTAATTAGTGGTGGTGGTGATAGTGGTGGTAATTGGTGGTGGTGGTGGTGGTGGTGATAGTGGTGGTATTGGTGGTGGTGGTGATAGTAGTGGTGGTGGTGGTGGTGGTGGTGGTGGTGATATTAGTAGTGGTGGTGGTGGTGGTGGTGGTGGTGGTGATAGTAGTGGTGGTGGTGATAGTGGTGGTGATAGTAGTGGTGGTGATAGTAGTGGTGGTGGTGGTGGTAGTGGTGATAGTGGTGGTGGTGGTGGTGGTGGTGGTGGTGGTGGTGGTGGTGACTACTTCTCTGACTGACTGACTGATTCGTAAATGGCGAAAAGGAACGATCAACAGTACGAGCCAAGCAAGACCTGTTCAGAGATACACTGGTCTATATACACTGTATAAGCTAACCTAAACTATCCTACCATCGACATAAACAACTCCTAACACAACCAAACTCACCATTTTAATGTTATTTTCCGGTTTTATTTCATTATTTCACTTCGCTAAAAGATCTGAAAATAAATTATTGCTTTTGTTTATATATATATATTGCTCTTTATTCCAGTGTTTATGTCCAGTGTATATGTCCAGTGGAAGAGTTTAAATTCCCGTAACTAAGTATCAAGACGTGTGTACATGTAAACCCACCCTCTATATCCGTGTTGACTTCCTGGTACTTCAGTGTTACGATGTCTAATTCACGGTCACCGCTCTAAACACACCAAAACACACGAGGAAATTGGTTCTCCTCCCCCCCCTCCCCCCTACAAGATGTACAAATTGTCCTGATAATGTAGAATGGAGTCGTTTTAAAGGGTAGTTATGTTCCGTACGCCGCGTCTTTACACACCCTCCCCCCCCTTCCTCATACTCCCCCTTAATCCCCCTTACTCCCCCTTACTCCCTCATCAACATACTTTACAGATCCCCATACAGTTATAATATTTCACTCTAGGTTGATATTACTGGTTGCTGTATTTGTCATGGTACCGAATCAAAACAATAATGACAGCGGTTTGTGAAATGAAATGGGGTCTTTTTACGTGTCCAAAGCCAGGAAATGGTCTTATATAAGTGATTTTGTTTTAGTTTTTTAGTTCCGGGAGAGATGACCCAACCCCCCCACGCCCCACTCCAACCCCTCAAAGAGCTGTTTAACCCCAGTAGATTAAAGTCTTGACGGTACTAATGGCAAAAATAAATAGCTCACTCAAATACTCAACTCGGATATAATTGACTAAAGAAGATGGGACGATTATAACTAGAGAGAATAAGAAGAAATAAGTCGAGGTTAGGTTTGGTTAGGTTAGTGTTTGGTTAGGTTAGGTTAGTGTTTGGTTAGGTTAGGTTAGTGTTTGTTGAGTTTGTTGACTGGTGTTGATCGGAAAAAGTTTAAGTCGATGGAATTAAATGCTGTCTTTTTTTTTTGTAGCATTTTTTGTTTTATAGTTTGGGTAAATTTATGAGTTAATTTTCAATATAAATGATAATAAAGAATTCTATTATCTTGACTCCTCTTTTTAAATTGTGTGTGTACTGTCAAAGATTTACCTAAGTCATAAAAGACAAGGTAAATTTCTTATAATCACTCACTCACTCACTCACTCACTCACTCATTCACTCACAATATACAAAATAAGGAGGAACTTAACGAGACAAGCCAAGCACTTTATAACCAATCATTAATCACTCTTAATATACCTTGTGTCGCTTGGCTAATCACAACAAACTTTGCGAATCACGAGAAAAAAAAATTAATTAATCTCAAATTTATAAAACACGAATAAACCACAAACTACAATAAAGTCATAACAAAAAATAATCTAAAACTTTTCCTCATCTAATAACGGAGATAAAAGTTCCCATATATATATATATATATATATATATATATATATATATATATATATATATATATATATATATATATATATATATATATATATATATATATATATATATATATATATATATATATATTATCACAAAACATTTCCTTAACTCAAAAGAACAGAAGCAAAAAGCTATACTTACAAGCGATGGATTCTCGTCAACACCTCAATTTGCGCACGGAGAGAATGTGAAAGCTCAGGATTCTATTGTATTATTTATTTCTACCTAAATAAACACACTCGTCAACTAGTACAGTAAGTGGCAGACACACACACACACACACACACACACACACACACACACACACACATACAGTCAACAACTCAATTACAGTGAACTAAAAAATTATATTACTGTACTCGGACAAGAAATACATGGGAGGGGGAAAAGTACAGTAACGGGTAGTTATTTGTGGTCACTGAACGAGTTAACACAAGACTAGAGGGCGAGTATATGAAAGTTGTGTCTACCTTCACCCACAGGAAATAAAGGTGTTGATGGGTAAATGTCAATTGGTTGGTGTGGGTGGGTGTGGGTAGTGGGTGGGTGTGGGTGGGTGGGTGGTAATGGGTGAATGTAGTGGGTGGGTGGTAATGGGTGAATGTTGGTGTGCCGCCATGATAGGTACTGCTTACCTGCCTCCCCCTAACAACAACCACCATCTTTACAACGACGGATACAATATGAATCAGTTTAACATAAATAAATGAAAAACAGACATAAACACCAACAACACCAGTGACGTAAACAGAGGTAAACATTATCCAAGTACAGGTAAAACATCTACATTATAACACCTATTCAACCCTATCCTCACTCACGACTCCACTCTATCCAACGCATTAATCCTAGCTTAACCGAACCGAACCTAACCTAACCTAATCGAACCGAACCTAACCTAACCTAACCGAACCGAACCTAACCTAACCTAACCTAACCTAACCGAACCGAACCTAACTTAACCTAACCGAACTGAACCGAACTAAAATTCTTCCATTCCTCAAAGTCATTTTCGTCTTTAAACCAAATTTCTACTAATTTTTCTGTTATGTTATTTTTGAATAAGATAAACCTAAATACTGCCTCATAGTTTAAGGTCACAATCAATCACCACCTCGATAGTTTTCAATTTTGTTCTTCCGTGTTAAAGGGACATAACTGACATAGTGGTACAGTGATACCTCCATATAACGGACTTCACATTAATTCTGAATTGTAATGACTTTTTTTTTCCCACAACCTTAACAACTATAGTTATTTATCTTACAACATTTATATAATTTTCTAAATACTTTTAAAACTTTCAAAATAATACACTAGCTGAACGTACGTAACCTGATATTACAAACTTACTCAAATATCCCCATAAAAAAGTGACATGTGGCCCTATGTCATGGAAGGGTATAGAATATTATCTAATGCAATTTTTTTTTATCGTTGGTGATGTAATTTCAGCTTTGTGAATACCCAAGTAGATGGAGCCACTACCTGCCACTTACTCAAGAATGATAATACCTGTACGTGTCTCGTCTTGCTTTTTCTTTTCTTTTTAATCCCAGTTCAATTTAAGGGAGATATAGAAAAGGATTACGTATATCCATTCTTGTCTGTCTGTCTGTCTACATGCTTACACACACACACACACACACACACACACACACCTTCACCTTTCTCTAATGAAGGCTTTTGTTAAACCACCAATGTATGTAATAAGTCATTTATGTCCAATGTATATTTTCAACCATCGGGCTGCAAACTTTTTCAATAAACCGTTAATTATTATTATTATTATTATTATTATTATTATTATTATTATTATTATTATTATTATTATTATTATTATTATTATTACTACACACCCAGGAGGTCAAATCCCTCAAACACAAGCATATGTTTACTATTTCCAACTCAAGACCTTCGATTCCTACACCTTAATATCCACGCTAGACTCAGGTGAACAGGTAAGCGAGTCAATTACCTGTGAGTATCGCTAGAGCCCACAGGTAACCGCACACATTACCTGTACTCTCTAGGTTAAATATAAGGTAATATAAGGTAATGATAAGCAGTAAGGTGAGACAGTACTCCAGCAGGAAATAATAAGAAGGTCTCGGCTCTGGCCTGGAGTGATGACAGTGATGGATGAACCAATGGATGACCCTGGCATAACGGATGACGGGGACTGGGGGTACTCAACTCAGGTATACATGTCAGTGTACTCGGGTAAGTGGGTACAAGTCGATTCCCTTAGGACTCATGAACCGGTTTTCAGTGCCTACAACCCACCCCCCCCCCTCACCCCCTACCCAAGACTCATATATAAACAGCTATATAATAATTACTATCATTATTATCCTATAAGAACTATAAGCAATATCACCATATACATTTCACTATCCACAATATTCTCTACATCTAACACCATCTTTCACTATAAACACATAACCCTTTCACTTAACCGAACCTAACCTAACCAAACCTCTGAATATAATAAAGGCATAAGTACTCTCAGAAACTAATATAATCATTCTCGTCAGGTGAATAAAGTTTAGAATCCAATGTTTTACACTGGGACACTTTTTAGGATATTGTGTTCATATTGGTAACTATGGCACAGGTATAGGAACAGTGGTACGGTGGAACAGAGGTACAAGGGAACAGTGGTACGGTGGAACAGAGGTACAAGGGAACAGTGGTACGGTGGGTGCATAAGAGGTACAAGAGGAACAGTGGTACGGTGGAACAGAGGTACAAGGGAACAGTGGTATGATGTTTAGAGGTACTATATGGTACAGGAGGTACAATAGGCACAGTGGTACGATGGAAGAAGATTGCCACTATGGAAGAGGGTACTATGGAAGAGGGTACTATGAGTAATTTCTCAAGCAGGATAAGACACACAGGTGAGGTGGGAGATAATGAGGTCGTGATGCAGATTATCCTCTACCTTGACAGCAAACTAATGATGCCTTAATAGTACATCTCTCGAGGCCTGCCCCTTGAGAGAGAGAGAGAGAGAGAGAGAGAGAGAGAGAGAGAGACCCCTCACCAGCCAACAACTAATACACTACAGAACTACCAGTCTAATTAACCCCACCATTCACAAGCTAGGTACTCCCCTAAATATGGCACACACACACACCCCGGTACTACTATAACGAGGGAGAGGGGTGGGGGGTGGGGGGAGAGGGGTGTGGGGGGAGGAGAGGGGTGGGGGTGGGGGAGGAGAGGGGTGGGGGTGGGGAGGAGAGGGTGTGGGGGGTGGGGAGAGAGAGGGTGGGGGGGTGGGGAGGAGGTGGGGGGTGGGGAGGAGAGGGTGGGGGGTGGGGAGGAGGGTGTGGGGGTCGGGGAGGGAGAGGGAGGAAAGGGTGTGGGGGTTGGGGAGGGAGAGGGTGTGGGGGGGTGGGGAGGGAGGGGCTTGGGTTAGTACTAATAAGGTGGCGGAGTGGTTACCTCGCTAAGTTAGTACTCTAGCAGTCCATGGTTCGATTCTCCTTTAGATAGTGTGTATGATTGAGGAGTATAATCATAAAGACGTAAATGGTTCCTAAATACCGAGACGTGAGAGAGAATGATGTGTGTGTGTGTGTGTGTGTGTGTGTGTGTGTGTGTGTGTGTGTGTGTGTCCTTCCTCCCTCCCTCCTCTTCTGTCTACGTCATAAGCTTGTTAACTCGTACAGTACATATTTCAAACTCGAGCCATCAAAGGGGATAAAATCGTCACCCGTATCTCCTGTCCCTTTAAATATAACATACACCCCTTCCCTTCCCCCTCCCTTCCCCCAGACGGACGGACGGATGGACAGACGGACATATAGAGCATCCATCAGACCCGTTATTACATTTTAAACTTCTTTGAATTATTTTCCCCATTATCTCACTGGTATGATTATTGGCTCCATTGTGTCGCCAAATAATAACAGGCACAGTAAAAAAATCCCAAACATTATTTAATATTCTTGTATTAAAATATAAATCCACTTTTCAAAATCAATTTAAGTTGACGACAAAACAATATATCGAATGGTGTTACTAAGAACATTTTTCGTCATATAATAATAACCGGGTGTTTCTTTTCTTAATACCAAACAAAAGTTTTTATAAATATACTTTGCTAACTTGAAGAAAAAAAATGGTTCAATTATATAATGTTAACCAAAATTTGTTGAGTACTACGACCTCCCGCTGCTGGAGAACCACACCACTAGCGAGGCTGCATCATAAGGCACATAATCCTACCACACAACCAAAATCATACACCCTTCTGTCTCTCACTCAGTCAAAACAGTGCTAGAAATTATCATTTTTTTGTCATTTAAACATTTCTCTTCATCCGCGGAAAGAAATAATTCACTTCCCAAATATGTAAACTGGTTCTAAATGACTCATCCAAGACTACATAACTCGGCATATATATGAAAATAAGCAAGAATTGAATATAATGGATATATATTACCATTTCTGTGTACATTTCCTCATGAAGTAACTCGTCTTTGACAGGCGGTAAGTGGAGGCGATTGTGTAAGTGTCAGCGTAAGTACCTGGGGTTGTGGTAATACATCACAGGGAAAGTGGTGGACACATTACGACACCAACTGTTATGTGTCTCTCATAACAAAAAAAAAAACACTCATGTGGTGTCAATGGAGAGTGTCTACAGGTACACTCCTGTATACTACACCTACTGGGCCTGGCAATATGTTGGAATTATTTCGGAATAAGAAAATAACGAGTAGAACAACGGATATCATAAAGATACACACAAACAATTATTAAACTACAAAATTCAATATCTGTAGATAGTGGTAAGGTATATACAGTCCAGGCTTAGTGTTAGAGTAGTCACCTTGGTCACTCCCTGCTTAACCTAACCTAACCTAACCTAACCTAACCTAACCTAACCTAGCCTTTAGCCTAACCTAGCCTAACCTAACCTAACCTAACCTAACCTAACCTAACCAAAACTAACCTAACCAAACACTTAACAACCAACCCCCAACCTGTTACCTGACTCCTCTTCCAGTTCTCTCCACGCCAAATATTTCCCTCAGTTAAAAAAGTAAATAATAGTGTAACACCTTTTAATATTTTATACATCTCGTAGGTAATGACATATAATGATCCCCCCTCTCCCTCTCTCCCCCTCACTCATACTAACTCTACTTCTACTTCTTCCCTCCTCCCCCTCCCATTATCCCCCCTCCTATCTAACTTCTCCCCTCTCTCTTTCTCTCCCTCCCTCCCTCTCCTCTTCTACTCCAACTACTAACCCTCTCTCTCCCTCATCCCATCTTCTCTATACTCCTTCCTCCCTCCCTCCCTCTCCGTTCTCCCCACTCCTTCCCTCCCTCTCCCTACCCACTTCAGGTCCCTCTCCAGACAATTGGTCACACTTTCACACGACTTATACAGGTATGGCTGACGTTGCTGCCGTCCCTGGGAAACTCTCCTTAACTATGCGGCCAATAACGAGATAAAATGAAACATATAATAGATATGATTATAACTATATTATAATAACTCATAAAAAGTTACTCCTATAGGGACGAGTCTTTGAGAATACTTTACACTGGGGAACTTTAAGAAATCACAAATGTATATGAATAACCTAACCTAACCTAACCTAACCTAACCTAAATCACAACTCAAAAAATAAAACATTACTCTATAGCATTAGTCCCGACGAAACACAAAACTCCCACAAAATCCCACAGATACTCCCACAAACTCCCACGAAACTAACAAAAACTCCCACAAAAATCCCACAATTTCCCACAAAATCCCACAAAAACTCCCACAAAACACACGGCAGCGGCGACGGAGGAAAAAACACACCACCACCACTCGACTACCTCAGGATAGACCGCACCGAACACCTATTATCCTCCCCTACATCGTCATTTACATCAGGGTCGTTAGAGGCGAGGAAACGACTATCAGAGGTCGTAAGGAGGCAACCAGCATCATCCCCCCCTCCCCAGTTAACTCCCTTAACCATTGTGGTAGAGATCGTTGGACGCGTAAACAGCTGTGGTGGATGAGGTCGTGTGGCTAATGACGGCGACGCGAGAGGCTTAAGTAGGTGTGGTACTGCCTGCTGGATGTGTTTTGTAAAGAGGGGGAGTTAGTGTGTGTACTGTAAGGGGGGGGGAGATTATAAGCTTATATATATACTAGGGTGTAAAGTGGTATACTGTGAGGGGGGGGGAGGGGGGATGAGGATAGGGGAGAAAGGGAGGGAGGGAGACAGGGAGGGGGAGAGACTAGGAGGGGAGAGACTAGGGAGAGGAGAGACAGGAGGGGAGACTAGGAGGGGAGAGACTAGGGAGGGAGATCAGGAGGGGGGAGAGACAGGAGGGGGAGAGAGACTAGGGATGGGGAGAGACAGGGGAGGGGGGAGAGACTAGGATGGGGAGAGACTAGGGGAGGGGGGGGGGGAGACTAGGAGGGGGGGAGAGACAGAGGGGGAGAGACTAGGAGGGGAGAGAGACTAGGGAGGGGAGAGACTAGGAGGGGAGAGACAGGGAGGGGGGGAGACTAGGAGGGGGGAGAGACAGGAGGGGAGAGAGACAGGGAGGGAGAGACTAGGAGGGGGAGAGACTAGGAGGGGGAGACAGGGAGGGAGAGACTAGGATGGGGAGGAGACTAGGAGGGGAGAGACTAGGAGGGGGAGAGACCAGGAGGGGGAGAGACTAGGAGGGGAGAGACTAGGAGGGGGGGAGACAGGGAGGGGGAGAGACTAGGATGGGGAGACTAGAAGGGGGGAGAGACTAGGGAGGGGGGAGAGAGCAGGGAGGGGAGAGACTAGGAGGGGAGAGACAGGGAGGGGGGAGACTGGGGGGAGAGACTAGACTATGGGTATCTTAGCCAAATTATGTAAACTGAACTAAACTGAACTAAACTAACCTAACCTAACCTAACCTAACCTAACCAAACCTAACCTAACCACAGCAGGATAGAGACAAGTTCAGACCCTAAGATGACCCCTTGACGTGATCTCTCTCTCTCTTCGTTATCTTGTCTCCATAATAAAAAAAACGTAACCAAAACACAAGGCGGAGGTAGAGGTGTATATACACACTAGTAACCCGATACAGTTCTTGCCATAGATCTTTTTTTCTCCCTGGATAAGGACTGAGGAAGGCAGGGAGGGTAAATATGTCTTCTAGATAAATATTGATCAAGGCGGCACTGGTAAATATTGTGATGGTAGAGGCTTGATGTATGACGGTTCATTGGCTGAGAGAGAGAGAGAGAGAGAGAGAGAGAGAGAGAGAGAGAGAGAGAGTATCAGTACCTCTCACTCCCTCACAATATAATGCACGTATAGGTGAATATAGACTCGTACGGGGAAAATTTCTACACTAAAATTCTAAACATTAATCAGTTTCTAGTAGGCCTAAAAGAGGTATAGACCCCAAGAAGGCCTATGGTCAGAGTGAGTGATCTGTCTACATCACCAGCACCTCCTAAGGTAGAATTAAACGCCCATGTGTTATGTAAGACTTCATGGTGGTCATAACGAGTGGTGGCCTCTGGCGCCCTCTCTCTTCAGTGTAAAACTTTAGATTTTCTTATTCTGTTTCAGTAACTCAATTCCAATCCTAACCTAACCCAACCTGGCAACCAAACCCGTGCCAAATCCCATCCAAACCCCACCTAACCTATCCTTAACCCGTCCTAACCTGTGTCCCAACCCATCCCAACTCCATCCTAACCCGTCCAATTCCAACCTAACCCATCCCAACCCAACCCAACTGAACCTAACCTAACCCAACTGAACCTAACCTAACTTTTATTAGAACACTGGGAAATCCAAATCATTATTAGACAATGTTCTGCATATTGTTTCTCAGGGAAGGGGGGAAGGAGGGGGAGGGGGGGCGAGATAGGAGAGTGTGTAGCCTCCCTCGTATGTTGTCAGGGCTCATTAGCGTATATAGTGTGTAGTTAAGTGAATGGCTGCTCACTGTAGTGTATGGTGACGTAGATTGAGAAAAGTTTCTCTAACGAAGCAGCAAAATACGTAATATAGAGAAAACCAAAAGAGGATGTGAGAAATATGAGAAATATGAGAAATACTAATTTTTATATGAAACACTGAAACATTGTATGAGACATAACTCGTTAACTATTACAAGACACCAATGCTTCAGTGGATGGGTTCATTGCTTATAGTAGTTTTTGATTCGTTATAAATTATATATGCAAATTATCATCAGTTAACGTAAAGGTTTAAATCAGGTTAAATAGTCTAGAAACTGTTTATAAATTGTTATTCTTCACATGAATTTACAGCAGCGGTTAATATTTTATTTTCCTTTGTAGTGTGAGATAAGAAATACGCAAAGACTCAGCCACAGATAAAACTATACCTAGAAAAACTGTAAATGAAAATACGAACAGAGAATAACAGATAATTTAATGTTATTCTAAATTCTACTTTGTACAACATAAAAATTTGAAGAAAAAAATTGCGTTAACACCATATTCTAAGATACTGTACCTTCAAGTATTAGTTAAAATTCATTATTGCTTTTAGAATTACTGTGTGTACTAAGTCAGTCAGTTACACACACACACACACTTACACACCTGTCATAACAAAACACTATCTAAACTAGGTGACTTATTTTATACCCTGTTGTTTTTTGACTTAAGTGAAGCATTAAAGTCAACCTAAGAATAAAAACACGTGTTAAATGACCCTATTACTAGAGAAAAGACCTGACCAACAACTAATATATTTTATAATCCACGCAGCAGCTTCCCCCAAACACCCATTACGACCGCTAACAAGGCCATCAATGTCTCCAACGACAAGAGTTTAACAGCAGTCAATTACCCATAAAACCTATGACAGCCATCAGTTAACATTTAGGCTCGTGGTTGCTACAAGTCAACAACAGATTCAACAGCCTTATTAACCCCCCTGGACACAACACCTTATCACCAGCTGGCAACAAGACTCATCACCATTACCCTTTCATGTAGGTGGGAAAAATAATTGGAATACGAGTCTAAAACTAATTAAGTACCGCACTAACAAGCCACAGTGTTGATGGGATGAAAGCGAGAACACAGACCCTCCACCACCACCCCCTCCCCCCTCCCCCCAAACAACCATCTTCACTCCTACGTGGTACAATACACTCTCTCTCTCTCGACGCCAACAGAAGCAGGATCACCCACACAACCGACGCCAACAAGCAGGATCACCCACACAACCGACGCCCATGAAGCAGGATCACCCACACAACCGACGCCAACAGAAGCAGGATCACCCACACAACCGACGCCAACAGAAGCAGGATCACCCACACAACCGGACGCCAACAGAAGCAGGATCACCCACACAACTCGACGCCAACAGAAGCAGGGATCACCCACACAACCGACACGCCAACAGAAGCAGGATCACCCACACAACCGGACGTCGCCAACAGAAGCAGGATCACCCACACAACCGACGCCAACAGAAGCAAGAGATCACCCACACAACCGACGCCAACAGAAGCAGGATCACCCACACAACCGACGCTACCGAGAAGCAGGATCACCCACACAACCGACGCCAACAGAAGCAGGATCACCCACACAACCGACGCCAACATACACCTACGCCACTAGACTATACCGACCTTCACAGCCACACACACGACCCCCCCCCAAAACACCTCATTAACACGTCTGCTGGGCCCCAGACACTAGCCCACCAACATCCATATTCCCTCGGCCACACCAACGCCTCAACAAACCTTACAATTATTCCTACCTACGCGGACCCGACCCACGCATGCGCTGAGAGTATACAATTTTATTCACCATGATTTTTTGTTTTCGTCTTTTTAACAGGGTAACATATTTACATTGATGGGTGCGTGCCACTCAAGCTACTGTTTGTTCCGATTATACTGACAAGATCGTCTTTACTTTTAACTCAAGTAATTTACCACATAATGCGTTAGGTTCCGACACTAAGAAAAAACAAAATATTTGATATATTCTATTTATTCTTTATATTCTCCCCTGTATAAGATCAATAACTAGACAATACTCCTGCACAAGCATTAGGACTTATTGATCTGTCACTTATGATAATTCTCAAAGCATAAAGTATAATCCTCGATGATCAGATGTAAAGATTATTTTATGAGGTGGGAATTAAATGGTGGTGACTGAGTTATATCTCGTACCTGAGCTAAAAAAAAGACGCAAGGAAACTCTCTATGAGCAATGAAGCCAATATGCTCTTAGGTTAGGTTAGGTTAGGTTAGGTTAGGTTACAATGGGTGAAATAAGCTAGTCTAAGGTCAAATTCCATAACAGAAAACCAGGAAGTGAGATTACTGCCAAGATCTTGTATAGACACGACGGAGTTATACCTAATTCCTGATCCAACGTTAAAACCTTTATGGGTGTAAGTCTCCTCCTGACCAATATAAGGAAAATACTACTGATACTATACCACTAACTATTGCTGTATATATCAACCTTCCGGGCATAACAGTAGCAATATTATCCCCCTTCTCTAAATAAAAATTAAGCTTTGAAACTCGCACAATAAACTTTAATAAATACAGTATATTATTATCTTTAAAGCTTTGTATTAAATGTCGTGTGAGTGTCTGTCAGTATCAAGGAGTAATATTATTAACATCAAAGACTTTCGGTGTCCATTAGGCCGCCCCCTGAGTCAAAATAAGCTACAAACACTACGTACTACCCACCGTCCTTACTAGGAGAGGGAGGTGCCCAGCCATTCACAACTAAACCAGCGTCCTAAAGTGAAGAAAAAATAAGGGGGGGGGGGAGCAATTCATCAGTTTCCAAATTGCCATGAATGTACAGTAGGGCAACGCCTAAGTCCTAAAATACAAAGAAATACTCCTTATCAATATGCAGAAGTAAACACTACATTAACTCTCAATTTGTCAGGGATGAAGACTCGCCATGAGGGACAAACCAAGTGATGATATTATGTGATAAAGTAACTTGTCACTATTTTAAAATGGAAGGTTATGTAGTGTGCTAGTGTTGATCAGGAATGAGGTAAAAAACACAAATAATAATCTTCACTACACCTTCAGGCAGTTACGATGGTAGTTAAGTCCTTGGTGGTTATTGGTAAACACTTCTGTGGTCGACTTTTTCGTTTAATTGATTCTAACACACGTGTATTATATGACTCTCAATGATCAGTCCCTTGACATCTATAGTCAAGTGATGTTTAGTATATATATATTTTTTTTAGACTTTAAACAATTATAATAACTCCTTAATGTTGGGTTAAGTAATGTTTTTGTTATCCTTTCCTCTCGTCATTAAAATATAACTAAATACTGTAATAATAATAATAATAATAATAATAATAATAATAATAATAATAATAATAATAATAATAATAATAATAATAATAATAATAATAATAATAATAATAATAATAATAATAATAATAATAATAATAATAATAATACTGTTGTCGGTGGTGTTTGTGCTTAGCTTTCTCTGACTGTATCTTTGTGTAATCTGCACTTAAGTGATAGTTTCTTTTTTTCCACGTGGTTTACAAGTCCACGTGTGTGTATAGGTAGCCAGGAGGAGGAGGAACACAGACGTGCTCACTGTTAAAGTGTTGTGTGTTTTGGCAATAAGTGGACCCACCGACTCTTGTGATTAATTTAACTTTTATGAACCTGTGATTTATGAAAGTTTAACCACTATGGCTACGGTGATTTATGGTGATTTTTGTACCGTGTTCCATGAATTATGAAGGCGGGGTGGAGCCAGGGTGAGCAGACAAGGCCAGAGAAGCGGTAGCATTATTCCATCAATGTTTTGTATTCGAGATGTATAGGTTAGGTTAGGTTAGTTATGGTGTTGTTTGCACTTATAATGAATGATTTTTAGTCACCATTAATTGTTGTTTGTCTTCAGAATGTATAGTGCAGGAGTATAAATGTCATAGACGAGAATAAGAAAAATTAAAGTAAAAAATTATAAAAAATGTCTCGGAAGAAGAGGAAGTTACAAATGACTATAAAATATTAACATATTATCTAGACAGCTTATCACGAAGGCTCACAGGAGGTAGAGAGTGCTGTTAGTGGCTATCTGTGACTCGTCTGCTCTGTGGCTGTCACATTTTCTGACGTGAGAGGCCAACACTAATAGCCAGGATGTGAGGCAGCTAAAGTATGGGTTACGATCGTTCATTAAAGCCAATAGGCGACGGGGGTTGGATCAGGGTACGTGAGTGTGGTGGGTTTGTTTTTAAGAGAGAAATTATTTTTTTTTATTTTCTGTTTTCATTTTTATACAAATTCACTGATTGATTACTTTTATATTATCAAATTTTGCTCATTGATTCAGGTTTCTTATAGTTCAGACATTTCTTTAACCCCACGATCCTCAATCATGCTTTAGACTTAGAAATACAATCTTACGATAATTTACGATCCACAGTTAAAAAATATCATACAATGTCAAAAAAAGCTCTTACGATACCCTTACAATGATTCACCGTATAGAAAATGTAAAAAAAAAAAATAAAATAAACCTTACGATACGTTCCACAATCTCCGTTAATACGATAAAACACAAGAAAGGTGAGAGTGTTTAACAGGACACCAATGAGACATAAACAACAGACAACGAGGAATTAAGAGGGCAATCCTGACCTCTCCCGTGACCACCATCCATCGCTAATCTCCCTCTGTTTCTCCCTTTTTTCGTATCTTAATCCCCTCCCTCTCTCTCCCTGATCCACACTCCTCTGCATGATCTACACTCCCCTCCCTCCCTGATCCACACTCCCCTCCCTCCCTGATCCACACTCCCCTCCCTCCCTGATCCGATCTTATCTGGGCATCATAGACCAGACGCCGCCACTGAGCTGCTGGTCAATGAATGGATAACTAATTAAACTCATTCTGCGCTCTGCATGGCCAAGTAGGAGCCGCCTCACCCATCTACGAAGAAGGGAGGGAGGGAGGCAGTATTAAGGGAGGGAAGGAGGGAAAGGTGGGAGGGAGGGAGTATTGAGGGAGGGAAGGAGGGAAAAGTGGGAGGGATAAAAAGAGAGCCTTATAGTACCACAGCCTTATAGTACCACAGCCTTATACCAGGGACTAAGAGTTACTGAACCTCACAGTCACGCAGCTTCCCACCCACCACAGAGGCTACTTCAAGGAACACTAACTTTAGAGGCAGAAAATCATATTACGGGTTATATAATCAAGTCTGTCTTCACGGTCACTCATAACCCGTGGAGAAATTTATATTAACGAGATCGTAGCTATTAGTTACAGCAGCCTACATAACTTAATGGAAAAATATGTTAGAAATAACAGGAATAAAAGAGAGAGAGAGAGAGAGAGAGAGACGCCACGAGACTCCCAGCCATTAACAAACATCAGCTGTTTTACGCCAAATAACTGTCCATTAAAACCTAAAAACAAAACTCGGTAACCACAAGTAAAAAAAAAAAAGTAGCCAGAGAAACATTCATACTATAATCTGACATTTTTTTTCTTTTCTTTTTATATGAACCGTATATAAAAGACGAAGAAATGTTATACAGAATGCCGACTCTGTGACCCCTGACGAAGATTCTCTTTGTTCTGTCACGGGCGATAGATGGCGTTAAGAACAGATACCTACGTCATCGCCTCGACCGCTATATACACCGTAAAAAGACTGAACTGTACCATTGACTACTTAACATTTACCCTCTATCGCACACTGTTATTTTTAGTAGGAGCCATGTTAAAATCCTAATCCCTCCTACAGTGAACGTCAAATATTACCCAAATTATCCTGAAATTTTATGTTGGTGTTATTTTGAGTTATACTGTTAGGTAGGTACAGTACAGTGTTTCGTTATCAGTTACAAACCTTTGAGAATATGAGATCAGAATTTTCAAAGGCCCGCAAGTTGTTATTTTTCACAACTAAGGACATCATAGTGATTAACTGGGAATATAACTCAGAGATGACGGCTAAAATGGTGCGAAAATTACACCTGGACGCTTCAACAACTAAGCTACTCTCTCTCTCTCTCTCCCTCTCTCTCCTTCTCAGTTACAGTGGATAAATATTAATTTACGAACCTTTAAGTCCGGGTGCAGATTCAGCCTTAAAAGGTTCGTACAATACCTAACTTGGCACTACAGAACGCGCCACGATAAAATAGATCCCAGTAATTTCCATGACATATTTTACTTCCATCCTTACATCGTTACTCAAGGAAGGAGGGAAACTTGATGCATATTAATATCCTCAAGAAAAAAAAAAGAATATTTAGATAAGAACCACCGAGAATGCAGGTTCAGGTACAGTCCCTCTGGTGGCCGCTGGCGCTGATTAGTGATTAGTATCTCTCATTACCTGGAGCGCAGCGTGTGACCCTCCCCACCAAGACGCCTCACTACCTGCACACTACACAACCTCGCTATAATCCTAATGACAATGAAACCGATCAATAAAAAAAATAAAAATAAAAACACTGAGTAAATTAGAACGAAAGCAACTTTGCAACTTGAAATTAAAATGGGGGAGCCACCCGTAATTTGTAAATTAAAAGAGAAGCCACCGTGGATTTGTAAATTAAATGGCGTAGTAACCCTGGATTAATAAACTGGAAAAGGAACCAACTGGGATTTGTGTCGATGATAATAATAATAATAATAATAATAATAATAATAATAATAATAATAATAATAATAATAATAATAATAATAATAATAATAATAATAATAATAATAATAATAATAATAATAATAATAATAATAATAATAATAATAATAATAATAATAATAATAATAATAATAATAATAATAATAATAATAATAATCGTTTTCCCGCTATGTTCCACGGTTGCCTGAGCTTACCTGTAATTACCTCATGTCAACTTGTCACGGTCACTAGCGAATAAATTGGAACCAAAAATTATACAGCTGGATGCCCTTCCTATCCCCAACCCGCCTTTACAGATTGACAACTAGGCATTATAGGTATAGGAATTTCAAGCATAATAGTTCAGCATGTCATAAGAGCATTTAACACGTATATAAATAAGATAATGAAGCTTTATACTCTCGATCTTCAACACAGCATAATAATTGTGTTAAATAATGTAACAACAGAACGCAATGGAACTTTCAATCCTTTATGGCGGAACCTTAGCAAATCCTTATATTTATCATTGAAAGAGAAATACACAGTCTTTACGATTTGTTCTACTATAAAATTTGTCTTTAAGAATATAACAGTAACATCTAATTCAATGTCATTCTCTATAGCCACATCAGACACCGTTGGCATAAGGCCCAGTTGTATACGGGAGTGAACACATCAAGTTTGGGTTTCTAGTAAGTTTTAGAATTTAACCCCCGAGTTGGAATACCTGAGTGTGTGTCGCCTTTCATGACGACTTGCAACGTGGGAGATGTGAATGAAGGTGGTGGGTGATGTCCTTTGGCCTGTACCTTTTATTAACTAAACCGTGTATGATCTCTCGTAATGTCACTCGACCTCTAAACTGAGAAGAAAATATTTAACACACTCACCTAATAATTTAAAATAATATTAACTATGAGAATAACCCTCTATTTAATAACTTAATCACTTTGAAATATACGTAAAATATTGTACAAGTTAATCCTGAAATAAACTCATGTTAACCCTGAGGAGGACAACAGGTTAGGACTGATTGGGGTAAACACACACCTGGTTGTTTTGTTAGCTTCCCAAGCAGTAAAATTGGCGGCCAACTTGAACATGAGCTACAGCTTATCTAAAGAAGTCATAGTTTGCTGCTTTGTGAAACTCTCAAATATATCTATTATTTAGAACTGGGACAAGTATTGGCTAAGTTATATATTCGTTACTAAAACATTGTACCTTTGACAGCCAATGTTAGAGTGAGGAGAAGAACGTGTACCTGTATCTGTATCGAAAAACAACAGTCGCACCAGAGAACTGCTCGTCCCGGCATAACTGACACGACGTTACGCACAAAAAAAAAGGTCCCTATTGGCCCAGCAGACACTCGTATCCTCACACTGTACAACTCACAAGCGAAAATTCACCGAGAAAAAAAAAGTTAGAGAGTACCGGAGTTACACGAACCATTTAGTTTAGTTACGGGTCAACAACAGTGCAGGTCGTACTCCAGTTGTTACAGAGAGACACCAGCTAATCTTGGTCAGTGTCTATCTAGCGTGACCAAATCCCATTATTGAGTGATACTGTTTTGCATGATATAATACCGTTTATTTATAAATCAATGAAAACTAAACATTGTAAATAACGCTTCAAAGGCAAAGGCGACCGAAACTGAACGGGATGTGATTGCGTGGCGGCGCGTACAGGAAGCCTGGCCAGGGTACTAGCCTCCCCATGCCCGTAATTAACCTGCGGGGGCACTACAGGGTGGCCGGGATGCTGCTGCCCCGCCGCCTCCAACAATATATGACAACATATGTGGAGGTTTAAAGGCTCCTAGTCCCCCTCAGCCCTTGCCGCAGCCAGGGGTCTCACAACATCCAACACAAAACTAATAACCGTGTTTAAATATTTCCATAATTGGAGATTTTAATGAATCGTATATGACTAAACGTATAAAGGAAGCAAAAATGGAGACAGGTTAGTGTCCGGGACGTAATGGTATCGTGAGCATCTTTATGGTGGGGAGGACACCGAGTACACTCCCGGGCATCATAAAAACCCACAGTGCCGTTTGGGACGTCGTCTGACCTGTGTCGCACCTCCCCGCGTCTCCTGGAATCTGGTCCTCGCAGGGGACCTCACAAAATCTCACTACCATCTCCTCCCACCTCCTGACAGTGGAAATGGCAACAGAATGCCACATAGAGCAAGAGAGGGCAGTGTCCTGGCTCTCGATGACATCTTTTCTTGTCTCGTGATAACTAGAAAGAACAGTTACTGTATATGGTACTGAACAAAAAAGAGCATTATCCTTGTTCTGGCTACCAGAGACTGGTAAAAAAAAGACATCCTATTTTTGTTTTTCCTTCTCCGCTTAGTGATACAGACGAAGGGAAAGCATTGTCCCTCTGTTGTTACCATCTGCTATCAGTGGAAATAATTTGATTCTGAGCAAGAGAAAGTGTTGCAGTTCTTTCTCTGACCAACAACATCTCATGCCGTGTGATAGTGAAAGTACCAGCAATATGGCAAAGGACAACTGCGAGTACTGCCTGTCATATATCTTAAGTGGATTTCGTAAAATGCCAGAATTCGACGAGGAATGTGTGATTGTGGTCTCCGTGTGAGTGCTCTATGAAGGTTGCCGTTGGGTTCGTGCCATTTGGATCACCTTCCCTAAAATTGAGACTTAACCCATTAGCATAACACAAGAAGCAGACGCGACATCGTTATAAAGATCACATCTCCATGCTCTACTGCACTACACATCTGTATGACCGGTCTGAACAGCTCTGGACAATTCATTTCCATCAGGGAGTTTATGTCAGTGGTTTCCTTTCTCATTGTTCCTACAAGAGATAGATACTTGTTCTAGAGATGGCGTTGGACCGTTCGTGTGTTGACAGTTGTTTACATACATATGCACGTCCGGGTAAAATATTACACGGAAATAATGGTGACGAGACGATAGGTCTAACCTACCTGTGTGAGCGGCTCCAGAGGAAGGGTGAAAATGCTGCTGCTGCTTTATTTAGCTGGTCGTCGACAGTTTAGGTCATTACAATCCTGGTGAAAATGTTTTAAGGCGGCGGTACACTGGACACTTCCCCCCAACACGGTCTGGCCAGCACAACAACAACACGGTCGGGCCATCACAACAAACGGCGTGTTTACAACTGGCGGCGGTCGGCTGGTCCTTTAAAGACCCTGAATAGTGATTTAATAATACTAAATAAGTTTTAAAGTGACGAATAAATAGAAAATAAATAGAAAACTGTCACCGTTATATTTTAAATTACAGTATTATTGTTTCATGAATTTATTTAAAATTGTACTTAAACATTCAAAAAACAATAAACAAAATATATTATGGGTACAAAATTAATATCACCAGAGTTTCGTTAAGAAGTTTTCGATGTTTAGTGATGGTGGGAGCGGAGTTCTCCAAGAGTTTTTTAACCTTCACGGCCTACATACTGTACTGTACACGTCATCACCACATGGGTGGTAAGGCCCCGACTTCGTTACTACAGGTATATTCAATTTTATTTTTATTTTTGGGTAAAACTGTAGTTTCGGCCAATATGCCCTAGTAGTTTAGAAATTATTTTATCCTGTGTATTTTGGTTTGATTTAATCGAATTTATCCTTTATTTCCAGGTGAAAGTACCCATTTTAGAGTTGCCCAAAAAGTATGGCAAATTTTAAAATTCATTTCTGACCTTATTATTTTTTGCCTCTGGTTGAAATGGGGTTAGAAATACTTCAAATAAAGAGATCTAAAGGTTGGGGATGATTAAAACAGTCGGCCGTGTATTGGCCGAAACTGCAATAATACCTTTGTTTTGTTAGTGTTGGTCATTTATATGAAAAATTGGCATCCAGTTGGCAAAAAAAGTATATTTCATTTGGGTCTCATGGATTTAGAACTGACTAATACTGTTGTCTCACTCGGGTTGGCAGGCGTGATTGTGAGATTCCTACATATTATGGTAGGCCTAATTTAGTTACTTAATTTGAAATATAAAATAATTTCATTGCTTTACGATTGGTGAGTAACAGTATGCCTCATGGGTCTTTACCAAAATCCTTTGTCAGTTGTCCTATTGTATAACACAAAATCGTATAGATACAATTTCGAGCGAGTGTACACAAGCCACCAGCCAACACCCTATGAAGTATTCCCTAACATTCTAATCCTGAGAACAATGACAAACAATAACCAGTCATTTATAGTATAGGATACCTGTTTGGTTTATACAACACTCTTACATCACAATAAGTAATAAGGAAATATAAGTAATTTATATAAGGTACGATTGAATTGTTCTCACAACAATTCTGTAGTTTTATTTACACAGTCTGTTGTTAAATACAATGGAGAATCATAATGTGAAACAAAACCATTGGATAAAATCAAGTAAATATATTATCTAGGAGTTAATAAAAAATTCACTTCACTAAATAAGTAGATGCTCATGTTCTGCCTTATATAAAATGTTTTCATCTTGCTTATTGTCTTACTGTTAAAATGGAAAGGGCTGCCCCAAACATATTATTCACTGCCCAACATCAGATATATATCAGGGGGCCTCAGGGGGTTCATTTCTTCCCTTCTTCTTGGCACACTGGACAGTCTTCCCCTGACAACCCACACTACTGATTCAGCAGTACTTTTCACCATGGTTCCTTTATATTTCTGGCAACATTTCACAGTGTAGGTTATGGAATAATACAAGAACAAGGCCACTCCATTTAACAACAGGACAATAAAAAAATTATTCCTGTAAATTATTTGGGTAATATCTAAATGTACTGCAACATTATAATATCTTAATTCAACTCCAATTTGAGCTTTCCACCTCTCTTTCCAAGTTTTTACTACATATGTCATCCAGTACCATAAAAATAACAAAGAGAATAAGAAAAGCGCTATACATCTATTCACTTTGTTAAAGGAAGAATGTGAATATAATACAAATGAAAGATAATTATAATCAGAGCCAAGTACAAACTAACAATGGTAATGCACTTCACACTTACAAAAAAAAATTTATTTAATTTGTCTCTCGGGCAATATTCACCAACATAACTGACAATTAATGTAAGGTAGGAATTATTAGCCTCCAGTTCTTAGATTCCTAATCAAACATCAAAAATAGAAAAGTTAAGAATTATTTCTGATTCCCTACCGGGTAGTATGAACAATATACACCATTAAGAACTTGACTAAGAGATGACTAAAATAACTGCACATTTCAAACACCTCTTCAAGTTTTTTAATTAATATTGATATAATTATTGGACAAATACCTTTAAGGACTTAAATTTTGAAAAGTTAAGTTTCAATGTGTTACAACAATGACAATTATGATGTACAATTTATAATGTCTCTTTTAGTTAAGTGAACCAGCGGCATCTCTAGCAAGTCTTAAAGCAGGTGTTACAGCAATGATTAATGATGGATTATGTGGTGACTTACCTAGTAGTAATTGGGGACGTTTTGCTTATAGTTCATTGCAAGTGTAAGGCAGGAGCTGAAGCTAAAGACCGTTAGAGTGCATCAGTATCACAACAGTTACATGGTGCATGGGAAAGCACTACACAATCAGCATACTCTGCTTGTCTCACATCGGCAGTGTGATATAGTCATATATATGTGCATTCACGAATTTGTTTTCAATACTGGTGCAAAATTCATACAAAGCCATTACGCTCATATAAGCAAGAGTGGTTTTCGACAAGTACCTACGCAATATTCGTTCAAACCCTTCCTCAGCTTCAACCCTTGATGCTGCAGTACTGACTCACACAATAAAAGCATCAAAGTTAAGTGATAAAATCTCACGACTTCTAGTTAGTTAAGTTATAAAATTTAGCCTCTTAGATTTAGTTAGAAAAAAAATCATGCCTCAAATTTCGGGAACTGATAAGACAACTTGAAGAAACATTAACTGTACAGAGACAACTTAATCACAATATAAAGACCAATTTTTGTTTTTAATGATACTGTACTGTTTATAAATTTGATAACTGCATCCATAATTGTCTAATAAAAAATTCAATACAAAGTTATTAAAAACAGTTTCATTTTTCATTTCTCCAGACAGATTCTCATCATTGATAAATAAACAGAAACAAGATACACTAGACTAAGGACCAAGTGTCTAGCATACTCCTACAACTGATGAACACTTTACCACACTCACCAATTTTCGACTACATCTATGTAGCAATACAGGTAAAAGTTAATTGGTGTTTTGAAAGGTAGGAAGGAAGGAAGGATCCTGAAATTCCCTTTTATGACCCAGGCTAGACTAAATGTCTCACACAATATAGCAGGTTAACCTCAGGACTTCTGTGGCCAGGACTCATTCCTTAATCAGTTACACATTCTTGTCACAGCTAAATCCTCAAAAAGGAATCTTTAGAAACATTAATCACTATTTAAGGTAAGTGGCAATGAGTTGTGACATTACACTGGCAGGAGTGTACTGTACTTTTCATCTGGGTTGGCCACAAATGGACATTCAACACTTCACCCCCTCAGTTTCAACCTACTTAACATGCTACCCACTAGGGTTTGAGACTGTCTGTGGTGCTTAACCTCGGCTCAGTCATAAAATGGAAATTCAGGATCAATCCTTCATTTATGACCAAATGACATCTCTAAGTGACTCTGTTGTCTGAAGTCAACTAGATAATGGGAGGAGGTGGCACTATAACTTAATCTTCTAAAATAATGAGCTCCAATTGCTAATATGAAAATACATCTCCCTAAAGGTATTAATCTTATTTTCATATAAGTTATACTGTAGTAGAGCACAAGGGAACTATCCACACAAACTTTCCAATTAACATCCACATATTTCAACAGTATTAAACTTGGCAAGGGAGGAGGGAGGTGATTACTGTCAAACCGATGACCCAGTGCCTTTGAAAGAATGGCATTTAAAAGATCAATATGGTTGACCCAGTTGCCAGGTCTGGTGTGCATGTGCTGATGTGACTCATTGCTGGCTACCTTACAAGGTGACTGTTGTTTCTAAAGTTCCCTTCTCAGGGACTCGGCTATAAGAAGAACATGTAACTAAATAATGAATTACATCCTGGCAACTAATGTCTGAGGTCAACCTGCACTCTCTACCCATGAACTTAGTGCTATAATATGTGAGTCACTTTAGGAGAGAGTTTGGTCATAAGTCTGAGTATAAATTACTTGTTTCTAAAAATTGCACCACCACGTTCTCACACACCTTGAAAGTTTCATTTGTCCAAGAATAACCAATGCGATCCACTATTGACAGCATCTTGATCGTCGATACTTCCCAGCAACAAATAATTTGCTCTAGTCAAATCTGACTATTGCAATGAATAAGCCTTAATATTAAGTCAATGAACAGCAATTAATTACTATTCTTGACCAATTCATATTAGTAATACAGAAAGTTACTTTCTGTTTGAAAAAGGTTAGTCCATTTCCTGATACAAAACAAGGAGCTACTACTGACTACAAGACACCCATGCAAAAAAAATGCTTGAGGTGGGAAGGTAGATCAAGTAAAACCTGGAGTTCACATGTTCAAAATAAATAATGTGAGCTACAGGCACTCACATTCTTGCAGTTTGTCAGTCTTGGAACCATTAGAACACAGCTGGGTTCTTGAGTTTATATTTTATAAAAATGTCAATATAAGTACAATTATGCAAACCAGAAGGCTGATATTAAGTACTGGCATTAATAACCTCATCCTTTGGTTGCAGTTCCACAGTAACTGTTTATATTAAGCATACATAATTTACATGATTATGTTTCTAACACTGTAAAAGGTGTTTCAAGTTTCTTTAGAAATGTTCACCAGTCTTATAAGTATCTCTGTATTAGCTTTCAACTACTGAAGAGGAACAGCAGTTCCTGTAGCTTTGTGTCATGGTGTGCACAAGTGTCTTGTGTGACACATTAAAGGATGGCTACTTTGGCTTTTGGTCTGTAGATTTATCCAAAGTCTGGGATTGGTATATGACGGCTCCAGTAGTCTGGTCGGTAACCACTTGTATTGTTGTCTTGCAGAAGAAACAGTCAGATCGATTCATCAAATGCTGTGTTACACACGCCCTGTAAGATAAACACAGCCGGTATAGATTAATTATTAAAATTACTGTTAAATATGGCTACTTATCAATTACTGGAGAGGAGATGACTTGAGTGTAAGAAGATCATAAGATATACATGAAAACAATACAAAACAAACAAACAAACACACACACAAAATGTATGATATTCATAATTCATTACTGTACTGTACAGTAGTGGAAGAACAGAGTAACAATCACATGAGGCAAGTTTTCTAAACAGTGAGAGATACAGTTTTGATGACTCACCTGCAGGAGGAGTGTGCGCATGGTTCAAATACTGCAGAAGCTGAGTATGCATAACAGATTGTACATAAGGAGTCTTCATCGTCCCCTGAGGTGGGCTCCCCACGGCTCTCAACACAAGCTTCTAAATGACTAAGAACACGCTCCACTTGATTTAACTCGATAATAGTTACATCATCGGGGTCTGAAATGGTCAGCATATAATCAATTATGCTATCATAGTAAGGGAACACCATAACAGAAGATATAAGACAGAATGACTGACAACAACTGAAGGAGTGTGATATGCCTGATACTGTACTGTCCCACTCTCCAACACAGTGGATAAGGGCTTGCAATAGTTGACAAAATTATACTGTATATTAAAACTTGCTGAATCCTTCTTCACTACAGTAACTTTCAAATGTATAAAATGCTTAACCTAATATTATAAATTACCAGATTATATAAAATGAAATATGACATATACTGCACTGTGGAAGTCTTATTGAGGAATTAGTGTGTAAGTGTTGATATCTGGCTACAACAGAGGTCTACAGTACACTGCTGACAATATCACGAGCAAACAAAAACTTATCATATGAGAGAGGTATAGGACTAATTTTATCAAAAGAAAATACAAATTTGGTAGAAGAGACAGGGATGTAATATTGACAACATTGCAGGTAAATAAAATTTGGAAAGCAAATGCATCTTCTGATAACTGGCAAAAGAAATTACTGTACATCACAAACAAACATTAATTGGAAAGAAACTTGTACAGTACACTATTTTTTCTCTGTCTTGTTTATGAGGATATATAATAAAATAACTTGATAATTAATAAAGAAAAGATTATTTCTATTCAAAGTCATGTGTACTGGATATTGAAATCATTATCAATTATACTAATTAGCAATAAATTCAAATTGTCATGTCATTATGACAACATTTGAAAAGTTCAAACTTGTTATTCACCAAATTATTCAGATTATGTTTCAAATTCTTAAAAACCTTAACTAATCAAGGCACAATTTTGTTTCTGGGATGAGGCTATCAAGAACTGAGAACGAGGGACTGGATATGACGGGGTGTCTTCTAAGGCAGCCCTGTGTACTACTTCATCATTTTAAGATGTCCTCCTTCTCAAGCTAAAATGTGTAAATTCATGATAAATGAAGTTACTGAAAGTTAATTTTATGTTTAAATAGGGGCCTGATGGCAATAAACAAGTACAGTAATTATGGTACATGTTAAAGCATACTCACAATTCCTTAAGGAAAATTTATTGCCCAAATTATTATTTGATGCTTGAGAATTTCCTCCCCTTGGAACAGCCGGCAGGAGTAAATATTCTAGGTCACCGGAGCCTTCTTCAATTGACGGATTAGTTATGTCAGGTGCTGAGGCTGTTGATGAGGCAGATGCTCCAGCAAATGCCATTCCTGGTGTAGCCTTGATGATATCCTGACCACCCAATAACTGGTAAACAGAACTTAACTGGAAACTGGGCTCATTCAGAAGGGTTCTTGTTGCCACCGGAGCTTTGGGATTTACTGGTTACAAAGAGAAAAAGAAAATTATGATAACTTTCCAAAAAGTGTTGGCTGATACTAATGTACTGATACAAATAGATTAAGAGATGTCTGAATCATGATAAGAGTGGGAGTATAGCATCTTCAATGATAGAGTAGAAAAAGACAAAATGAGATTGAAGTTGAAGATATTTATGGCTGTCATTTCTTTGATGGCTAATGGGGATCCCAGTTAACGGAACTATTACTTATACTGTGTAGTATAAGAGGAAGAAGCTGAAGATGGATGTTGATGCAAGTAAAGTTGTGGGCTTTTAAGGAGAGAGTCAAGGAGATATACAATGTACATATTCATTAAGGTTCAAAATATTGCCAAGATATCCATATCTCCCGACGTCTCACCTTGATCAAAGTCGTGGCTGATGAGGGTGACGAGGATCCCAGTCACCGCTGTTAGTATGGGGTACTGGTGGATAGTTTCTAGACCTGGAATCTCAAGACCCACAACATGGCCAAAACACCCAGACCAGCCACTGACACGGTTGAAAACTTGGCATAACAACTGTCAAGACAAAGAGAAAATACATAAGATATGATATGAGTAATTTTATCACAAGTACAGGTATCACTGTTTAGCATTAAATCACTTAATGTTAATTTGCTTTATTTGATAATTTTTTTTTTACGCCCTTTCTCACTTAATGTTGGGTCAAATTTTGTTTAGCAAAAGCCTAATTTGAGAGTACAATCTCTAAGGTGTAAATTGCCTTCAATCATAATGTTTATGCACCAGCTCCAACCCAGGTGATGGTACGGTAATAATTTCATACCGACAGAGAAAGAGGAAATACAAACTGTAGAAATGATGCTACGACACTACATACCTGACATAACCTTGACAAGAGAAGTTCTGCATTAGGGCGAGAGAAATCTGTAAACAACTGTGGTGCGATGTTAACAATCATTTCCAGAACTCGGAGGAGAGCCAAAGCTAAATCAAAACACGTTGCACATATGCGGAGTTGTCTTGAATCAATAAATACACGTTCCGGACGGTTTGATGCATTCTGGATCTGAGGATAAATTATGCAACTTATATCATTTCTCTTCTACAAGTAAAATAAATTTATAAATAAAGTGCCAAAGTCAAATTTTTCATAAGTAAAAATCTATAGACTGTGGGATTATTTTTTTCTTACAGCAAATCCATTCAATACACAGAAAACTAGTACAAGTATAAAAAAAAATAATGAAATATAAAATTCCCAATGTGTGCAGGTGTTTTACCTCCTGTAACATTCCAATGAATTCAGAGAAGGCCCAGTTGAGCTGGTTCAACAGAGAGTTGAGGAAGGGTATGGCTATGTCAGATGAACTCTCCAGGACTTCAACCACGTGTCTCTGGAATGTCAGCGAATGACAGGGAGCTGTGGGAAGTAGATAAATTATTAGCCTAAATAAATCAAAACTTCATGCAAAATATCACAGTACTGTACAAAAAAATGAGGAACTGATCCTGAAATCCCATCTTATAACTGAGCTTTGACCCGGTAACTCAAGTAAACTAGCCAAAGTCTACAGTTTAAAAACCCAGGGAACCTCAATTCTGGAAGCTGGAACAACTGACTACATAATTAGTTCACTCTTTCAGTCTCAGCCACAGCCATTCAAAATGGATATCAGAGATGACAGCTGCTACTTTACACTGAATGGTGAAGAGTCTTGCCATCACACAAGTTATGTGTTCTATGGCCTTCATTTGGGGCCAGTCCCTAGTTCCAGCTCACTTTAGGTAACTAAATCACCTGATCCAGTCATGGTCATAAACTAGATTTTCAGGAAACATCTGGCATTTAAAACTTGATGTCTGGTGTGGCTGACTCAAGTACAGTATACTAAAGAGTTAGATAATGTGAGACAAAAATAAGTTCCAAGTGCTAGTCCAAATATACATGCCACAGGGGAGTAATTCTTATAAAGTGATAGTACGAAGAAATGATCTATGGCTTCCTTGCACCATTCAGTCCTTAAGTGTTGCTTGTACATCCAATTACTAACCAAATAATTAATTCACAATTAATATAATAATTTCTTCCTTAATTTATGGTGTTAAAACATGAACTTAAAATTTAGCAGACCACCCTAAAATTCAATCTACAGAGATGAGTTACTTGAAGGTTATGCAGTCATTTATCTATTCAAGCTGTGTGGGTCCTGGTTATCAAGGTTTAAATATGTGTTAAAATTACCTGTTGTTTGGGTGAAGTTGGGGTTGTCTGTGTGTGCTGGCTTAGGACCAAATTTATTAGTCATGTGTGGACTTTTGGTGTAGCGGAAACCAAATCCACAGCCTTTCCAAAATCGTACCAAAATCCAGTTATTTTGTGCCCATGCTCTATTTTCATAAGGCTGGAGAAGATTTCGAACCATTTGTTTTCGGCTGTAACAAAAAAATAGTAACTACATTACTGACAAAAAATAGAGAAGGAGAATCAAAATTTTACATCATCATTGAAGAGCCCTTAGTTTTGATAAATTAACATATCCTTTACTTAGCAAGCGGGTAGGCAGTTTTTAAAGTACTACCTGAACCAGGGAAGTTGGTTTCAGTTAAGGGTCTAGATGGTTCAACACTTTAATTAATGTTTGAATATTTCATTTCATAGTTCAAAAGTTTGTTGAAGACCAGAGATCTTTACACAAATATGACAGTTCAACACATTTGATAAGTTCAGTATTTCTAGAAGTATATTACCTGTATATGCAAAATGAAGAGGAAGGAAAAATCTTACCTTCCCTCTGGCATATTCTCAAGAGCAGTCAGGGTTGTTTGGTGACATACAAAGCCTGCAAGGGCCTGGATGAGGGAATCTTTGCTGTCAGCATAGACAATTCGTGAATCACAGAAGTGCAAAGCTAGGAATTCTCCCACACTGGTGAGTAGATTCTGAGAACCTACAAACAAAAGAATATAACTTATATATTACAATACTGACAAATATATCTTATGTACTGTATTTAGTATATAACTGGACTTCAGTTCTTTTCACTATCCTCTGTCTATCTCACTTTGAGAACAACAGTGACATTTTCACCCTATACAACAACTCTCATTGTGTGGCATCTTCTTTTGCTTTTAACATGAATGTACCTTACTGATTAATTTAACACTTACACGTAAGTTATAAATTATACTACTTATCATTTATAAGTTTAACATCAGTCAAAAGAGAAATATTATTATGATGTAATCTTTAAAGAAATTTGTTATGGCAATATGCTTCATCTAATACAAATCAGAAAAATTCTTTCCTTAACCTAACCTAACCTAATCCACCTGCCCTTAAGGTAGGATGGCTATTTTGGGGTTACTAGTCCAAAGTCTCTGGACAAGGAGAAACCTGGTGTCAACCCCAGACCAGATAACCTACTGGAAAGCCCATTCTAAATGTAGAAATAAATAAAGCTAAACTTACTTGGTATACTTTCCGGGGGCACAGTGAAGTAGAGGCGCAATGCTGTGCACATCTCGGTCAAGCTCTCGACGTAGAAATCTGGTACGAACCCAAATAATTCCCCCTCGTTGGAAGCATCCTGCACATGACAGAAAACGGAATTGGGGATTAGAACACGAGTGATTACCGCTTCTTAATGCATCCTTAAATGTGGTGTCTGGGATGAGAGATAAAATGGGGATGAAAAGTGAACTCTATGACAAAACAGAAGTTAATGAGAGACTTAATGAGACTGTATAAGAACAATAGTGAGATATGAGAGAGAAATAGTAATATAATATTCAATGGCAGAAATGTTTAAGAGGCAGAGGATGAAACAATATAATGAGGGACAGTAAAGACTAAAGATTAATATAGAAGAGAGAGGAACACTGACATGCTGAGATAAATATAGTGATAAAGTGCAGAGATAGAGATATTATGAGACAGAGCACAAAGTAGAGATAGTAACAAACAGAGAGGATGAAGTAGTGATGGTAAGAGACAAAGAGAATGAGATAAATGTGTTATGACTTACCTTGAGTGTTGAGAGGATGACCCGCATGAGAGACACAAGATGGGAGTACTTCTCTGTAGAGTGTATGGCAGCGATGACCCACGCCTGCTGCCTTGCCTGCTCCTCCAGCTTGTTGACGAACACTTCCCTCGACCCATTCAGTTCACTCAGTAAGGTGGGACTTGAACCCTATGCCAGATCAAAAAATTTTATCAGTGTAGCAGTTAAGAATTAGTTTTTGACAGCCTTCATCTCCAAAGAAAGATTCATAAAACAGGAGCTCTTATACTTTCGAAAATTTCCCTTTTCTATTACACTTTCATAAATTTTACTGCCTCACTATTCACACTCATCAATCATTTAATTCTTCTTTGCTTGAGTTAATTTATCAATACATTTTATTACTCCATTAACAGGACTGAACGTGTCAACCACCTGTTGTTCAGCATATGTGTCAAAGAAAAAAATAATAATCTGGTTCTTACCTTCTCAATACAGTACTTCATCTTTTTATCAATCTCTAAGACATGGGTGATATTGTCATTCATGGAGTCCCTCTGTGCTGCCACCTTGCCCAGCTGCTTGTGAGCACCAATGTGGTACAGCAGTATAATTCCATCAAGCAGATGAAGCAGGGAATCTCTCATCAGCTTTGAGTTCCCGTGTTGACCAGGCTTGTCTTCCACATCCCCGGGCGTGACATTGACGAGTCGCATGCTACTTTCTACAGTTGGCTCCCCCGACACTAATGCCTTACCCAACACTGCACCTGTAAAATAATTAAAAAAAATTGAAGTCTGAAGAAAGATACTCACTACACCTTATTCAGACTTGGACTTAACAAATACAGTATCTTCACTGGATAAGATAGAGAAAAGAGATAGCCTATTGGTAGTCTATGATTCCATAAAATAATGAAAGATACATTTTAATATGTTCTAAACCTTATTCTTAACTGCTTCTCCATACAGTACTGTACTCTCATATGTTTCCTAATTACAGATGCATTTTCTTTGTATTAGAGCTAGCAGTTGTGTATCTTCAAACCTGTCTACACACAACTTACTGTACACATAGCTATGAGCCTCTAGTGTAAGGATAACTAAAGAAATTAAATAGGAAGATTTTAGACATTTATGCAGCATTAGTCCATTTGAAGAATTTTGAGAATTCACTGGGTAGAGAGTGAAGAAATGAGACTCTGGCATTGAATAAACAAATCCTCACCGATTCACTGATAAAAGTCTGATAAGATGGTGTGGAAAGTCTGTGCATTGCATGATGAATATGAATGAACATTAAAATAGTACTTGAATGGTTCACACATCTTAATATATAAACTTTATTAGTAAATCACTCACAGATTCAGTCCATGTCTACAAATCACTTGACAACACACCTGATGTTGAGGGTTCGCTGTTATGCATAGTATAGTTAATGTCCTCAACAGAACTCACACCAGCTGTTGCATTGTCCAACTCACTGATCACCTGGAAAATTGAAAGCATAAATACTTTGTCCATAGCTTTAAGGGAGTGGAGGATCACCAGATTTGAATAATTACTACACACATAAATAAAATTACTTACCTTCTACCCCTTTAAACCCACTTTCCCAACATCCCCATCAAAATAATTCATGAATTGACAACTTCCACTTTATACAGGGAATCTTTAGGATTTTGTGCCAGATAATATGACACAACAGATGAAGGATTTTGACAACCCTACCTAGACAACAGGACGGTGACGGTTTTCATTTTGAAATTCATCGGACTCCTCAATAAAGGTACTTTTTGGAGTAAGTGGACGTATCATTATTCTATGGAAATACTGTACAGTCTATCAAATTTGAACTAAGAATTTTTTTTTAGAATTCGTACTTGGTATTTTAAGCAGACATGAATATAATCTCTACAAAAGCAAACAATACGATACAGACCTTTGAAGTGTCCATGTGAGTATTAGGAAGAGCCTTAACCAACTCCTTTTTGAGAGTCTTCATTAAGTGTGATTCAAGCCCACCCAATCGATGCGTATCAAAGTAGTTGACGGTCCCATCGTAGAAGAGTCGAGGCGGGATAACAACCTCAGGCTCTCGAGATTCAATTTTCCATAGCTCGTTGAAGATTTTTAAAAGACGGTGAAAGAGGCAGAGAATGACTGGAAGTGGAGTGTAGCCAACGACAGGTACCTAAAACGGAGGAAGGATTCATTTAATAATTCACCAATAACAATAAATGCTAAAACACGGAGTCAAACTAAACGCTGTACCCAGATCAAGGACCAGAAATGTGTAGTTCTGTTAGATTAAAAACCTCATGTTAATCTGAGGTAAGTTTTATTAAGGTGGGGATTAATGAGACCCTGGAAACATCTTGGCAAGTTTATCATTTTAAGAATAACCTGAATTAATAATAACAATAATAATAACAACCAATGTGAATCTAAGCCTGTCAGTGCGAACCTGTATATGACAAGCAATTGAGAATACAAAAGCACTGAGGACAAACAAGCCTTCTCAACGACAGATAGTGTGCAGTGAGAGGAGTGAGTAATAATGCATGAGTTTAATCGAGAATTTAAATCAAAGGAAAGAGTAGTTGGATAAACGAAGAACATTGAGTCAGGTAAGTGGAGAGGATGGATGAAAACTGATGAGAAAATTAAAGATGATCAATGGTACAGGAATTGGGACAGAGAAAATGTAAATAAGACTGGAGGACTATTTGAAGGTATATAATTCCTATTGGACGGTGGGAAACACTATAGTAATATATCACACAGAACAGAACAACTAAGTGATAATATTAATTTCAAAGGCTCCCAATAAAGTGACTGTGAGATGTCTTACGCCTTTCCTATTGTTACTCACCCTAGACCCTGGCGCGTGCTCCTTGAGGAAAGTGCGGAACTTGGCCAGAAACAGTGCCCTGCTGCTCTCTTGATATGTGGGAGCATCAGTGGCATTTAACAGCTGCCTCAAGATGGCTACTTGTATCTCTTCAACCTCTAAAATTTCAATATAAAAAAAGTATTAATAATAATGTCAGTATTTAAATGAGCTTAACTATTACTTGTGTATACATGGCTGCACAGTTTTATGGACACAGTTATTAAAATTTTCACTCATTTAGATTAAGGCTGAACACCTCTCACCTTCTACAGCTAAGCGGATTGTGTTGCACGACTTATCATAGGCTGCTTTATTACCATGAATAAAGGTTTCATCTTTAGAAGTCCACCAAACTGATGGGACCACTTCATTAAGGCCTTCTTCATCAATTGTCTTCATGTTAACAAAACTGGGAAACCTAGAAAACCTATAAAGTTTCATTAAGATTATAATGTTGAAAAAGTGGATCATGTCATAACAAATACTGTACTGAGAGTTGATAGTTTCCATCTCTTATTTTTTTGGAATTAATTTAATTACAATAAAGGAAAACACTCTGGTCTCCTAATGCATTAGTGTCAGACAAGAATGAGGTGGCATACTGTGTATAAACATAGTATACCTGTATCCTAGGCACAAATGTTTAACTTCATCAAAATCACTAATCTATACATTCAAAAAACTTTTAATTCACTCAATATGATTTATTTGATTTTCCATTTATTGATCAAGATAGAGTGTACACTAAATTACCTGACTTTGTCGAAGAGTATGTGCTTGAGGCAGTACTTCCTGAGGCGGGTGTGGGAGAGGATGACATACAACAAACGAAGGTTGTATTTTTGGCCACGAAAAAGGATGTTTTCTGCTGCCTGCTTGTGGCCAGTCAACAAGCAGATGATCAGATTGTCCAGGCACTTGAGGAGTTCATGACTCTAAAATTAATTTCAACAAAATTTAAATTTCAAAGCTTTGGAGATACATTATTTACATATACAGGTGTTCCTCTACTTACCAACATTTGACTTATGAACTTTCAAAGATATGAACATCATTGTTGAGGAGGCTACCTGCCAGGGCAGGTGTTTAATGTAAATGAGACTGGATTATGCGGAAGAAAATGCCTGACAACATTATATTACCAAAGAGGAGAAGAGTATACTGTACTTGGTATAAAGGCTGCACTGTAGGGTATAACTGTACTGTACAGTACATCATTAATTTTTCATTTTTTACAATACATTTGATATCAACAAGACTAAGGTTGGACTTATGAACAATCTTTAGGAACATGACTCATTCAAAGTAATAAAGTACACATACACACATACTGTACTGTACAGTATATCAAAGTTTATGCTGAAACTTATGCTAAATCTAAAGACATAAATTTCAGGGGTAACCTTACCTCCATGGAAGCCATAAGGAAGTCAAATAGGATGTGTGCTTTGGGAAGGTTTAATCCATCAGTACCCAGTCTACGTGAGGCTGGAGTGCTCTTCGCATGTGGATCTGGTGTTACTTCAGCCAGCTCTGCTAGAGCAGGAACAAGGCAAGCTTCTACAACATATGGGGTAGCCAACAGTGGACCCAAGTGTGCAGCAATGTGTTGCACCACAAGGTGTATGCAAGCTTTCCGACGTCCCCCACTCAGCTGCTCCTCTTTTCTTACTAGATCAGTATACTGGTAATGAAAAATAACGTTAAAAAATGGAAGGTATATTGTATACAATAAAATCACATGCCCAGAATTTTTTTTATGAATCTATAGATCTTTTAAGCTTAGTACAGTACTGTATTTCAAAACAAATAATACTTGGTAAGAGTACCTGAAGCCAATGCATGTCGAGGTTCACTAGACTTGTGAGCCACGATACACATCGATAGGCCTTCACTAGATCACTGGTGGGAGGAGCTTCAAGAGGAGAGAATCCTGGCTGTGGGTAACGGAAAGGTGTTGCCCCAAAATTGACAATCAAGTTTTCTCCAAGTGCTAATGACACAGCTGGGAAGTAAGCTATGCCAGGACCAGTTTTAACGTTGCTAAAGGCTGGACCAAGTGACTTGCCATTTCTGATGGAATAAAATTCATCTTTCAATATTTCTTATCAATGAATTAAGTCTTTGTATGTCATTCAAGCTAATGCTCATGTTTAGATACACAGCTTTGACCATAAACATATTTTTCCTATAAAAAAAATCACAGCACTGCCTCCCATATAAAAAGAGGCTGCGAATGAAAAGTAAATTAAGGTCTAGATAAACATCAGTTCTTGTCCGATCAGCTAAGTTAAGCAATGTTGAGTCTGGTTAATACATGGATGGGTGACCGCCTGGCCCTAAGAACACGAGAAGCTGCTGGCATAAGGAATCTTCTACTGGAAACAAGCCTCTCATGGTGCTGTCAGCTGTCCTTTATCAAATTGACTGAATATCAATTATTTTTACACTTTATTATTACATTATCATTACTTTATATCACAGTCTGTAAGACAACCATAAAAAAGGAAATGATAGGATTCCTTTGTTGCTTATGACTCTACCCGCATGATATACCACAGTGCGAGTGAGACTACCCACATGATGTACCCTAGTGGGAGGGGGTTTGTATAAATGAGTGACACAACTTTAAAACTTATTGCTTCACCAAACTACTCCTGATGTTATCAATTGGTGAAACATAATACAAAATTCTTTATCTGCAGGCTGTTTAAGTTTACAAATGAGTAGTAAATCTTATCATATTTGGTGAAAAACTATTCAGCCAAGGATATCTCATGAATATATCCCTTAACAGTTGCAGGCTTAATGGACACCAACCTATCCATTAAGAGTGGTACCCTTTAGGACCAGACTTCTATTTTAATGGTTAGGTTAGGCCTCTAAGGACTGGGGACCATTTAAACAGTCAGTTCACAAAGTCTTTTACCTGAAAAACATTACGATTCCTTCCTCAAGGTCCAAGGTACATGAAATAATGTCTCCACACTGCCACATAGCTCCATATTTGTAGGTAGCTACATTCCACTTGCGTTGTCTGTTGCCATCATAGGCATAAGAATCTGGGGTATCACCTGAGGAAAAAAGATCAGCGGTACCTTAATTTTTTTTAATTAAAGCTCTCAGGAAAATATTCATAATACTGTACAGTATACAGTATATACCATAACCCATAAGAATATACACATAGGCCCCAAATCAATTATCTACCAGTTCAATGTATTTCACACAAATAAATGTACTGCAATTCATTATCTATGTAACCATTACTTGAAATACATTGGATCACCATCACTGACTTATGGTCATGTCTCACAAAAACTTTACTTTTGGATAAAAATTGAATGAGATAGACACACACACACACACAGTACACTACTATAACAAGACACTAAATCACAAACTCACAGATATAAACAAAGATAATATATTATGGGTTAATCCTAAAATCTTGTTGTGTAACAAAGCCTTGACCAAGTGACCAGTGAATTACCCAGACAAATCTACAGGGTCAATACCCACGGAAACCCTGCATGTTGCTCATGGTACTACAGTAATATCTCCGTTAGCCGGAATCCCTCAAACACGAAAGTCTCCGATAGCCGGAATTTAAATTTTCTCTGAAAATCGTTCCCAGAGCCGGAATTTTCCGGAAAATTACGGCATTGGCAACGATTTTTAGAGGGGCACATTTTCCGTAAAATTCCGAGAAAATTTTCCCGATACGTACCCGGAAAATTCCGGGGAAGAGGGATATTTTTCCGGGTTCAAGAGTTGACGTACTGGGCAATTTCTGGAACTTCCAAAAACATTTTTCCATTACCGGGAAAATTCTGGGGATGAGGATTTTTTTTCCGGGATTGAGAGAGACGCCTCGTTACCCGGAAATTTCTCTATCCCGGAAGTGCTCTGCACCAATTGTTCCGGCTAATGGGGACATCACATTGACTATATATTACAGTGCTTAGAATAAGAAGACTGACAGTGAATAAAGGAAACCTCTGTATTTGTTTGAGCAGAAGAAGAAATAGAAGATATGAAGATGACGACAAAGAGAGAACAAAAATCAGAAAATTAAGGAAATTGATTACAGTACTTTGAAACCCCTATAACAAATACCGTAATTTAAAGGTAATTAAGATATTTTTTAAACTACTAAAACTCACCAACGCCCTTTTCTTGAGAGAACTGGCAGGCCATGGTGGCCCAGCCAACCTGCATCACTCCCTTCGTGCCCAACATCAGCTCATACTGCCACTTGGCTGACAATGTGGCAAAAATGTTTTCATGTATTAATAACAAGTAAATAGTTCAGGGTATACAAAAATAATTCTAGTTTAATAATATCAAAACTAAAATACTGTTAAGGAAAACATATGTAATTACACTGTGACCTCACTGAGTTTAGTAATTAGTTTGTTTTATCATTTAAAATATTAGTATACAGTACAATAAATAAATCTTCCTAAACTCTGGGTGATTAATCTAGTCTCTTACAGATAGTGGTCCAATCACCTATGTGAGACTGTACCTCACCATTCACCAGAAACAAATGAAGGAACAATATACAAAGCCATTAACTGTGACTTTTAATGCACATAATATATTTTAAATGAATTTCTATTGGATAATGAACCATGAACAAGAACTCACCTTTATAAACACAACTGTTGGCACGTATGGTTGAAAAATTGTCCTGAGAATTTACTCCTAACCTATCATAATTGTATGAAAAACTTCCCACACTACTCTTGAAGTCAAACAGTACTCTTGAAGGCCCCAGTCTGCCTTCAGTAGACCACGGTCGGAAAAGCTAGAACAAAAGTAAGGTTACACTGCATTGTTTATATATTACAGCATAATAAATACAAAACAATAATGCAAGTACGTAATTACTATTTTCATAAAAAGTATTCTAACACCATTAAATACCTTATAGAGTATTGCGTAAATATAATTCAAGTAATGACATCCAAAATATCATAATTTATTTTTTTTTAATTCATTATCTTAACTATATGAACCAGCAAAATATTCATAAAAATGTCATATCCTAAGTAATAACTCACAGGCGATTGTCCCTGATGCCGGACTAAGTTTTCCAAGATCAGTCGCAGGAGGCACTGTATGGTTCCGTAGTCTGGCAACTGACTACATATACCACTGAAAATATATCACAAAATTTCATTATTTTTTATCATAAGAGCAAAAACTCTTCACATTAAAGGCAGTTGGCAGCACAGCATAGCACAATAATACCCCTTCAACCCTGCTGAGGTAAGGAAGGCCAGGACACCATCAACTGAGTCCTTACTGTTCATTGTAAAGCCGAATAGCCGAGGGAGGGCAAAATGTACACTCTCTTCTATGAATCTTTGCTAATAATGAACACAACAGAGATAATACTGTACTATACTCCCTACCTTCATCATATACAGTATACTGATAAGTCCAGTCAATCAATAATTATAGTCTCTGTGTAAAGACTAACACAACCTATCCACAAATGCAAACTGTTCCATAGTTCCTGTAAAGTGAACTTATGCAAATTTGCCTTTGAGAAACACTTTTTAATGTATAATGAACAAGGTGGAAATAAAGTATAGGAGTATGAAGCAATTGAGTGAACTGAACCTCTAAGACTCACTCAAGAAACTGGCCATCTGGGTGAGATCCTCGGTATCGCTTTAAATCGTCTTCAAAAACATGCCGCACCACAGCATCTAGCAGGTAATCTGTGGGGCAAATTTTAAGAATAAAATGATTACGTAAAAGGACATTATATTCTGCACCAAGTAGAAATAACTTGTACTTTCAATGGTATTATAAGAACATTCTTATTGCATGAGAAGAACTATCAGAGTAAAGACACTAATACCAATGTGCTTCTCTATTTCTGAACATACATGATGAGTAGTATTTATGTAAACCTATAAACCAATTAAAACAGGGAGAGAAATATTAGTTGATATATTCCCCTTCACTGAAATTTACTGAAAGAGAAGCAAATATTTTTTTATCCATATGCTGGGTGTCATAAAAATAACTGTTAAAAAGTTTAATGCGTAGGATCCACCGACTACGTACTTTCAACAGGTATTATTTTAGAGGCATTATTTTCTCTAACTTGTTTCAACTTCTTGGTCAAAATTATGAATACAGTATTGATAATTTGTATTAACGTCTGAGGTGCAGTTAAGAATAATACCCATCAACATTCATACACTGTTGAATTATTAATACTAAATATTTTCATGAAATAATTAATGAATGTTATGAATACTATCTTACCGCCACAACAGCCAGGGTCATATAGCGCCGGAGATAATTAATGATAAAAGGTTTAAATAAATAGAAATGACAAATTAAACAAAACCAGAAAAACCCTGGTAAGTGTACAGGGTATAATATACCCTTGACAACAATACACCTTAAAATGGATTCATCAATGTGTGTAGTATACTGTACACAAAATGGATTAACACTAACAAAATTACATTTGTGTTTTGTTCATACAACAAGAGGATGATTTTTGCAGTTAGTAATGTAAGTTTATAATGTAATAAGCATTAGTTTATGGTGCCATACTGACTTGTTTGAGTAGAAGAGTGCATCGAGGATCCAGCCACAGAGAAATCTTGTCGGCTGTCGTGGGGTAAGGGAGGGCCGCTGCCACCACCACGGTACCCAACTCCTCCGTTGTTACCCATCATGCCAGACATTTTCTTATCAGTAGTAAACAATCCTCACCCAAGTCCAGTATCTGTAATTTCATCAATGATATATATATATATTGTGTACATATTAACTGACACAGGAATTTACAATAAATTAATATCTTATTAGAATTACAGTACAGGGGAGGTATACCTGAACTGTACTACCATCAGGTTCTTATACCTGGCACTCTTCCAACATGCAGAAACTCTAGGATCACCTGAAGATTAAAGACCCCAGTTTATTTCCCTCGCATATTAACAACTCTAATGCTACCCCTAGGGTTAGATTAGGTTAGGTTCGGTTAGGATGGTTAATCTTCAGGTGAAATAAAGTGGGGTGCCTTATTTTTTTGGTGATCAGGATTCTAATATGGAGTGATAGGCTATCTAATTTCTACTAGTGTTGTAATAATATTATACGTGTATTTATGTACTTTTTGAAACATTCGTGCGAACGAAATTTGCAAAAATGCAGTACCGTACTTCAATACCCAGCTTAAACGTTTATCACCTGTGCACACACCTCCACTTCAGACATTGTGTGGATAAGTAAGAAAAAAGATTTGGGTTAACCAGCTACCTAACAAAAAATATATATTGAAGAAAACTTATTTCTTACCCCAAAAATTAAGCAAATCAGGTGGAGGAATAGCATGTTCCAAATTCTGGGTTTTCCTCCAATTTTTCCCGTAAATAAGTCCTTGCCACCTGCCCGCCTCACATAATGTCATACTTGCATGTCACTGTTGACAAATGCTTTGCAGTGAGTAAAGGAACCCAAATACTAAGTGACGGAATGCTTTCCAGCCAGCGAACAGCCGACCTTACTTCCTTTCCATACCTTACCTTACCTAACCTAACCTAACCTAACCTAAAGTCATAAAATCGTAATTCCAAAATAGGATTGGTAGGTTTCACCGAATCATCTAATCTGCAATAAATTAGAATACTGTATTTTATAATGTAATAATAACAACATTCACTGGAAGCGTTCACGTACATATGGAAAGGACGACAAAAATGACAAATCCCACAATTATTTGTCTCTTTTCAGATAATCTTCTTCATGTAAGAAACAATAGTTTATCATCATAGTCTACACAAAAATTACCTAAATTCTGCTGCTCCTGCTATTGGTTCTTGGAAAGTATGAAATAGAATGACATTATTTATGTCTATGAAATTTTCGGACACTTTCTGCTCATATATACCAAGACAGAGTCCTCGTGTGGATGGCTTGGAACATTTTTACGGAGATGAAATACTACGGCAAAAGCCTAAATACAAAAGGTAGACTTACTATTCCACCATCTAATTTACTTGAAACCGAGACTAATTGTAAGGACAAAATTCATCACATTATTTCTTGCGATGACCAAGAACTGAAAATTTTTCGAGAAACCTGACCTAACCTTAAGAGACAACATGACGACTGCAATTTCTCAGTCATCGCAGGAGACAAAGTGATGAGATTTGTCCATACAATTAGCTACCCAAAGTGTTTGCCTTATCCCCGAGGTAAGAAAGAATGCCGACGAGATTCTGAAATTTAATAACTCCAGCCAATCAATGGTGAGTGTCCAACCTCTCCTGAATATGGATGTGTGTGGCATTTGTGAAGAAAAAATAAAGATATTATTAAATTAATACACAACGCTTACAATAATTCAATAGATATTTTTGTGATGCACGACATTCTTAGAAAAATTGCAACCTGTGACCAATGCAATAACCCCTGCGTCTACGGGCAAGAGAGACGCAGTTAACACAAGGTAAAATATTTAAGGTTAGGTTGGGTTACGTTTAGTTACCTTAGGTAAGGTTAGGTTAGGTTAGGTTAGTTTACGTTAAGCTAAGTTGGCTTAGTTTTCTTTTTAGAACAATTTCCAATAAGATATGATAAGAAATTTAAGACTAGATTAGTTTTTTTTTTCAATTTTTAAGAATTTGAAAAAGAAATGGTGGTCAGAAATTATTAATGCATATAAAACAAATAGAAAAAAATATTAGGTAGTTGGTTAACCCAAACCATTGTTCTTAACTATCACTGTACATATTGAACCAATATTGTATGAAGAGTTTTAGTAATATGTTTTACTTAAATATCTCGTGGGGGAGAAAGGAAAAATAACCAATTGAACAACAAAATTATTGTTTTAAATCTCATCACAAAATACTGTATTAGAACTTAGAGGATATTTGTCTATACAGGTGTATATATATAAAAACCTTATGACAGAAGACAGCATAAGGTAACACAACCAAACATGATAACCTTATAACATTATGATACTTTTTAAGAACTAGTTTGGTTAGGAATTCCAAACTATAACACAGGCCAAAATATGTCTAAGTAATTCAGAACTCTAGCTCGAATTGTTCAAGTTTATCATGGCCAACAGATCACAACCAACCTGACACATCTCTATCATGAACACAGTCTTGCAGTCACTTGTATTATAATGTTTTAAAGGGTTACAATTAAATATACACAGTTCCCCTAAACTTCATCATAATTAATAGAGAATTACCCAGGAGAACTATATTTAATTTATGGCTCGCTCGTATAAATACCAAATTTAAATAGGAAATATTTTTTCCTTGAAGGATATAAATGTGGGGATGCAGTGAGTGAGGAGCCTCTACACTCACCTCCTCCAGAGCTCTCCTCTCAGTCCTCCTTCACTTATCACTTCATTTTCACAAAGCGGTGCCTCCAGAGCTTCCAATAGCACTAATATGAGTTAACATATTCTTCTCTTACTGAATGAATCACTCGTCAAGGTCCTTTGATTACTTCTGATAGATTGTTTTGATTCTCTGTCATCTCACGCCTCTCAATATTTAACTTGTGACTTTGTCTTTATAAATCAAATTTTGGAAATTGTATATAATTTTACCTCTCGAGAAACATGAACCGTTCACACCTGACATGTATAGATAATTTTATTTCTGGTAATAATGTATTTTCAGGAATATTACGAAACATTCATTATTATTATATTAAAACATGTCGTCACCCTCAGACACAGGACTTACTTCTGTTCGCCATGCCATCTGGCGACTCGTCCTGACCTCCACCATGGCGGCAAAATCAAACATGTATCATTCTTGTACAGTACACACATGTGACCTGTCATGTGGTCGCCTTCACGTGCCTAACCCATATATGAAAACCACATGTATATGCTTTATACTTTAACATATTCGTACATAAACCTCGATGCATAGATTTGTCTCATCTTAACTGATTTTGTTATTTCTTCGCATACTTTTTTTAATTAATCGACAAATTAATGTGTATTGTGACTATAAAACCAAAACGAGACTTTCACCTCCAGGAGAGACGTGCCCTGTGAGACATGTAACTTGGGGAAGGTAAAGGGATTGGGATGGGAGGCGTGTATACCCCGTCAGTACTCAGAAACTTGAACCTATTTGCCCAAAAGAACTCTTCACGGTGTAAGTGTGGCTTCCTGCAGATGTTCTTACGACCACAGGAGATACTAGTTGGCTACATTAGGTGTGACTACTCTGGTGTACGGGTTGTGGCCAGGTTTTCCCAGACAGGACAAATAGACAAGTGTTTGGTAAAGTTGGTCGATATGTGAAAAATATTTGGGTTTGATTTCATGTTTTAATTCATTTTATTTCAGTGCGTGGAAATTAATGTATGTATACTCGTAAGCATTTAATGATGATAACACATAGATTATTACTTATTCCTAATGTGGTCTAATTGACAAATTAAAATTGACGGCGAGCAACAATGTGGAAACATGGAATAGAACGGAACCGAAAGATAAAAGTTATTTACAAACACATTTTGATTTTAAGCATCTACTGTAGCTTACTCCATGAAACAATATGTGTTAAAAAATGTTTAGTTGAAGATTGACAGACGAATATCAATAGAGTATATAAGAAAGTACACTTACCAATACAATACTACCTGCCGGTCACTACATGCCACTGTGGACAGGCTGTGGTGATTATAATTATTTCAACTTGGTATTTTAGATATTTTGGATTAGGAAGACCATTGATCATGACCAAGTTGTGACTGTTTTATTGTGTAGTCAACAGGAAATGTTTCTCTAACCAGTGCTGTTATTTGGCCTGTGTGTGTGTGTGTGTGTGTGTGTGTGTGTGTGTGTTTTTATGTTCAGTTTATGATTCACACGATTACTATTCAGAAAAATAATGCAAGTAACGACAACATTCAGAATTTAGAATTTAAGACAAATAAACATGCATGGCCAAACTCCGATTAAAACGGAAGAATAACAGGTGAAGAATTGTGGTGGCTATCGTAGTGTGTCCACAACGCGTTGTAGTCGTGTTTTTTTTCGTCAGTAAGCGAATTCGTCTTTTTGAGTACATGTACAGGTGTATACATGCAGGAGTGTACGAGTACCAGAGGCGTGAGTGTCTACAGTAATATTTTGTTATCACTCCACTCTACCACTCTCGCCATCACGCGCTTTGTTTAATAGATAGAACTACTACAGCATCAGGTGGCGTTAACATGCATGTAGTTATTCTAGGAACTTGAAGCAGTGTTTGAGACGAACGTAGTATTGCGAAGGCTAGCGACATATGGTAAGTATAAAGGCGTGTGAAGGTCATTTCGTGTGCGGGGCTCAAATGTTCTGCAACTGAGACAGTAGAAAAAATTTCCCAGTTAGTTATTGAAGATCTCAGAACTATATTGACGTCATTTGGTGTTACTCTTTGTGTTCTAATTTAGCACAGATTAATTTGGGGAGAAAATTTTTTGTACGTTTCTTTTTGATAATCGTAGACCCTTACTACACATATATATATATATGCTCAAATTATTACAAAGAAACACCAAGCTAAACAGAATGTTACCACCACCTTCCTTCCCTCCACACATACTGTACAGTACCACAACATACACAGTACAAATACTCACCTATACACCACCACATTCACTCCTCCCCATGCTAACACTGTCAGGGATCATCACAAGAAGTACACTGCCACAACACTGAGTCCATTGCTTTTACTGTACTATATCATCATATTACCTGGTCTATTGTGGTTCAAGGGACAGACGTAAACTCTGGTATATTTCTGACGTTTTCACCGATTTTAACACTGGGTTTAACACTGACTTTAACACGAGGTTTATCACCACACCCAACAACACTGGGTTTGACACTGACTAGAGTAGCTCCAGTCCTGGTATAATGACGATTACAACACTAGTACACTGACTCACACACTCGCCCGGTCGGGATGGTACGTTTCCTGAGTAAACGTTTAGTCCTCCACTCCTTCCCGGACGCCCCTAAACCCCTCAAGTGCCTTAAACAATTTGCCGCAAAGTGTGTGTGTGTTTAGTGATGTTTTTCTCACGACTTTCAGATCCCGGAGGAGTTAATGAAGTGACTTATATATTAATTTTGTGATTTGTTCTCTGTTACTCATTGTTGGCAAGTATGGTGTATGCTGCATCCACTGATTGTATATGCCGATTTAAAGACGTGGCTCAATGTACAGACAAATATTTTCCAGGGGGCTGTAGGTACACTCCCTTGCACCCCTCTGTGGCCACCGATGCATGAGTGTAAAATTAGTCTTTACAAATAGGCTAACATTTTCCCTCCATTTAGTACTGTTAATTTACAAATGTAATTAAGGCGATACATAAATAATGTACGTTGTCTAGCTAATAAAATGTGCATGATAAGTATTTTCTTTGCCTAAAGATGAATATAATAAAATAGAAACACATCACTTGTGAAATAAGAGTGGAACCTAACCTAACCAAATCTTAACTAATCTAATCTAATCTAATCTGATCTAACCTAACCATACCTACCTAATAGCCTATCCTAACCTAACCTAACCAAACCAATATACTAAGCTTCCTAATAATCCAGAAATCCATTTATTCTTATATTTTTTTTGCTGATATAATCTGTAACGTAATTAATTTTACAAAAACTGATTAAAGTTCCATTTGTGAACTTTTTATTATTCAATTTTCTATAGCTAAGGTTAATTACTTTAATTCGATATTAAAGTCCTGAGTTAACTACATGATAATTATTCTATACATAGCCTATTTAATAATAAAATAATAATAATATTATTATTATTATTTATTTTATTATTATTATTATTATTATTATTATTATTATTAGTATTATTATTATTAGCCACCGAATTTTGAGAAATTTATCTTTGAAATCAGTAGTTCAGACAATTCTAAGACACTTTTCCTCTATGACGTTTCCTTCGCAAACCACCTATATTACACTAATCACATTATTATTATTATTATTATTATTATATTATTATTATTATTATTATTGCCACCAACCGAAACTGGAGAATTTTATCTTTGCAATCAAAAGTTCAAACAATTCTAAGACACTTTTCTTCTGTAACGTTTCCCGCGCAAATGCCCTGTATTATTATTACTATTATTGTTATTGTTATTGTTATTGTTATTGTTATTGTTATCCATTTAATTAAAGTGATACTCGGTTGGTTTCTTTAATACTACGGTAACACCTTTTAACTCATTCAAACTCATTTAATTCCCGTCTTTAAACGCATTCAAAGTAATGTTTAAGTACCGCATTTAAATTCATTCATTAAATGTTTTTTACGTCCATTTTCTATGTTGCGATAAAAGAAAACGAAATTCATGCAAGGGAAGACTTCTTTACTTTTATTATATTAGTAAGTTATAACAAATATTTTATTTTAGTGTGCTTTATTTAATTTTATCCTCTTTGCCGTACTTTAAATTGTTAAATAAATCCTGCAGGCGGCGATCATCAGTCCCAAAACGATTAATCACGTCTTTAATACAGACTTTCTTTCTATCTAATTCTAACACCTTCTAGCAATGCACGTTGAGCATGCACAATCCAGACAAGAGTTCAGTTGACATTGTTGATCGAAGCCTCAACACGTCTCAGCTTGCTGGAGGCTGGAAGTGTCAAAAAGATTAGTATGGTTTCTCGAATAGCAGGAAAGAAATTATATTGCTTCAGAAGATCCATCAAGAACAAGGTTGCCTCTGAATCATGTGGTTTTCTTTTGGGAATAATGAGGCTGTGTTCACATTTCAAACCAGGACTGCGACTCCTCAGCAAAATTATAGATGTTTTAGATATAATCTAACTGTACAGTCTGTGCTCTTTTTCCATATATTCAACAGCCACTGGATCTTTTCTCACATTTCCACCACAACTTGGTTTTTCAAGTGACATGCTGATCGGCTCGTTAGTAGCTTGGATAGTCGGTCACGTCTCTGTTACACACTGTTGGCAAGTACTAGGCATGTACTGGCTCCTGAATGTATCTGTGCCTACGCAGGCTTTGCTTAAGTCTGGTCTTGAAAGAGCTCACACTCGGTGCCTTCACAACACTCACTGGCAGATTGTTCGAAGAGTCTACAATTCTCACCCCGAAAAAAAGTTTGCCCCTTCTCTCAGTTCTCTGGACTTTGATTTCTTCAACCTTGAACTGTAACCCATCGTGGAGCGGGCGTTTACCATCTCCAGGAATGAACTCTTAAATCAGTAGTGCCCTCTGAGATGTTTATAAAATTCAATTAGGTCACGCCTTGCCTGTCTATCGTATAGTTTGTTAGGTTAGTTTAGGTAGGCTAACTTGGTTTAGTTAGGTAATACACTAAATTAGGTTAGGTTACATTACAAAACGTTATATTACGCTAGGATAGATTTGATTAGTTAAACGCTAGATTAAGTTAGGTTAGATCTGCTTTGGTAAACTGTAAAATTTTCCCCTAAAAATGTGAAATTCATGACAAAAAGACAGTGGCTACAGCTTAAAGGCAATTGTGGGGGTAGCACACCTTTAGTACTTACACGAAACGTTTCGTGAATTACTGAAAAGTAACTGATATAAGAGGTGGCGATAAACAACTACACGACATCCGAATTCTCACATTTTTGTTTTAATTCTCACAGTCGTCGACCTGCTATGATCGTCCTCGTCCGGCAAGTAGCCAGTGAACTCGTCGAAGTGGACATAACATTTCTGCTCCAAGTGTTTCCACCTCCTGTTACCGAAATTGTGTTGAATCTTATATTAAAGGTGCCTAAAATATTTACATATGTAGGCAAAAAAACTAATTTGATGCGTTGTTGTCATTAGCTTACACTATTATTATTATTATTATTATTATTATTATTATTATTATTATTATTAAAGGGCCCTTCAAGGATCGCTGACAGCACTAGGAGTTTCTATAGACATTTTACCCTAGCGTTGTAGTTTTTATTTACACTTAATTCTCTATATAAGGAAGTGTCAAGATATTTCGCTAAGGTTACAGTAGAGATACTGTAGGCTCGTTAAAATATCTTATACTAAAATCATTTACAGTAAAGAGAGATTCGCCCTTACTGTAGGTACTGGATAATAATAAAAATAATAATAATAATAATAATAATAATTATTATTATTATTATTATTATAATTATTATTATTATTATTATTATTATTATTATTATTATTTTTATTATTATTATTATTATTATTATTATTATTATTATTATTATTATTATTATTATTATTATTATTATTATTATATTAATAATAATAATAGACAACTAGATTATGTTGGTGATAGTTCAACACTTGTCACCCGTCACTCCACCACGCACGAGGAACCTTGATCTGAGTTTGAAGTTTATTTTAAGTCCCTGTAAGTTGGATCACCTCCAGCATTTCCTTAGTCTTGTAAATCGTTGAGAAATCGAGCACACCCAAGTTTTATGGCCCAATATAGATGGATTTGCAATATTTCATTTACTCTTGGTTCATAGGCCATAGTAGGTATTGCACAGCTGCCATATAACGTGTTAGAACCGATCACCAATGTTACTTCCCTTCGTTCAAGTCTTGTGACATGCGTGTATCTGTGTAGTCATTGAACACAACTTTCTTTTCACTTCCATCCATTTGCTTAAGCTGAACACGTATTCAATTGATGACTCATGAGATTTTAGTCTTTCAGTAAAGTGCCTCCGTTAGCACAACCTTCTTTTACGAGTTTATGTGATGCATTTGACTCTATAATAACTAACCAAGAGAGGGCGAGCTCCCTGGAAGAGCGGGGCCCAGGTGAACACCCCCCACCACCACTCTCCTCGGGACGGATCCTCCCCTCTCTCTCTCTCTCTGTCACTCAAGTGTCTCGCCTGATAGTCACCACACCTCGCCTCAGCCCCTCATTTGACTGGGTGAAGAATTTTATGGTTTACAGAGTGATGGCCTGAGTGTACAGTAGTGTAGAGAAGGGTATGTTAGTTTAACTTCATTGACCATATTCTTCATATCAAGTGACTGTAGTTCTTATATAAACTATTGCAAACAACTTATGAATTACTATATTATGACTGGAGTATTTGAGATAAATATAGCTATGTAGACTCATAAATAAGGGAACTTTTACTCTACGTGGAAGGGATATATGAGGCTTTAGGGTAAACTAAAATATATTTCTTGAGGCTGGTTAATGTTTGGTTGTTAGGCCACGGAGCGAATCTTATTCCCAGCAGTTTGTTTAGTCACCTGTGGGTCAACACTCCGATCAACTTAAGATACTTCTAGTCGTCGTCTAATCTGTTTGCACCATCGTAAACAACACAGCAATTAATCACCGTTGTCACAGTTCTTTAAGACTAACATTCAATATTTACTGGTGTTCATTGTCTTATACTCAGGCTCCCTGGTGTGTAGCGCGCCTCTGTTTAGTGTTTATAGAGGTGCGGCCGCCATTAAACTCATGGTTATGGTTGTGAAGACATCTATAAGCCCAACAACCATCACAACAATCTCATGTCACTAAATACTATTCCTATGTGTGTTTAATATTATAACTCTTGTCTTCCGAGGCCAAAAAAATTGCTGCGTCCATCAAGCGTCAGTAAGTTTTTCTCTATATCTGCTTCTTCTAATCCCTGAAGAAAAAAAACTACTTTCCTCACAATTATCTCTGTCTTCTTGTCATTATACACGCCATGGAGTTAAAAATTTTCCTCCAAATATAATAAATACCAGATTTTTTTTCCCCCGTACGGTGTTGAAATAATTAATTAGTGCAATGGTCAGCAGTGACTTAAGCCTCACAGGTGGTTCTCGCGAGATATTAGACAGGTGTGTGGAGAAGACTTCCCTGGATATCAGCGTGTAGATGTTCAGTATGTGAACAGTGAGCGTGGACTAAGGTATACGGCTGGTGTGTGTGTGTGTGTGTGTGTGTGTGTGTGTGTGTGTGTGTGTGTGCAATAGAACCCCACATCTCCAATCTCTGGCAAGGAAAGCATCTCTCTGAAATAGATTTGACAGAAACACTTGCCTGATCTTTCCTTGAATTTTATATTTGTTTGAAAAAAATGGAGACGCAGAGACACAGTAAGCAGAACTACCGGCAATTTTACGAATGGCTGTGTGTGTGTGGCCGTGTGTGTGTGTGTGTGTGTGTGTGTGTGTGTGTGTGTGTGTGTGTGTGTGTGTGTGTGTTGTTCTTGTCTCTCTCCACAACACCCAACAGTCTCCCACATAGGTGTCTGCAGGTAGTAACTGTTTCTTTATCAGCCAAAGTTGATTACCAAGTGTTATCACGAGTGTGTGTGTGTGATATGACAGAACAGGTGAAGACTCCACTGAAAGATTTACCAATTAAATTATCCCAAGTGTTTACCAAAATACGAAAGACCTGTCGTCTTGAAATGTAATTACAGTGTTTCTCATCAAGTGATCATATGGATTATAATTATTATGTAATTATTTACTACTTACATAATTATTTTTGTATTTTTGCGTATTTGTGAAGCGTTAATTAGTGTCTGTATGTTTATTAAATTTTTACTTGTGTGTGTGTGTGTGTAGAAACAAACACACACATACACACACACACACATCCTTGACCACCGAAGGGTCAAGACGTACCTGGCGCTCCTCTCGGAGCAGCCAGGTCAACTGTTAAGTTGGCCCATACCAACCCCCTCCCCTGAACCCTCCTCCCCACCGGAATATAAACAAGTTCTCGCCAGATGTTACAATTTCATTTAGGAGAGGAACGGAACCAGTGTTAACAGAGGTGAACAGTGGTGAACAGTGCTTAAGTCAGTGAGAACAACTCAACAGCAACAGTCGTGCCCAAGTTAACCTTCACACAGTGAGGTCCCAGGTACCCAGTGATAACGGCCCGTGAGACCCAACAACAAACACGGATGTGTTAATCCATCTACGATAGGAAGGCCTAAGACCAAACCTCACTCATATAACACCATCTGTGAGGGAGTTACTACACCACGTGAGGCCCCTCATAACACCATCTGTGAGGGAATTACTACACCACGTCAGGCCCCTCATAACACCATCTGTGAGGGAATTACTACACCACGTGATGCCCCTCATAACACCATCTGCGAGGGAATTACTACACCACGTCAGGCCCCTCATAACACCATCTGTGAGGGAATTACTACACCACGCCAGGTCCCTCATAACACCATCTGAGGGAACTACTACACCACGTGAGTTCCTCCTAACACCATCAGGGAGGGAGTTACTACACTACGAGTTTGCTGTTCAACACCTACATTAATTTGTATGTTCACTGTATGTTCCTTTACCTTTCTCTAATGAAGGCTTTTGTTAAACCACCAATGTATGTAATAAGTCATTTATGTCCAATGTATATTTTCAGCCTTCGGGCTGCAGAATTTTTTCAATAAACCGTTAATTATTATTATTATTATTATTATTATTATTAGTATTATTATTATTATTATTATTATTACACACAAGACAGGTAAATGTAATGTATATACTAATAGCATCTGCCTCTTCATTATTTTCCTTCTTATCTCTCTTCCTCTTCCTCCTTTCCTCTTTTTAGTCTTCCTGGGCTTTTTCTTGTTCAATTCCTTCTTTTTTCCTATCCCTTCTTCTCTTATTATTCTTCTTCCTCCTCCTCCTCCTTCTTTCTTCTCCTCTTCCTCATCCTCCTCTTTATTCACTCACGTTTTCCTCTTACCTCTTCTCTTCCTCCTCTTCTTCCTTCTTCTCCTCCCTCACTGCCTCCACCACCTTCCCCTTCTCTTGCTCTCCCTCCCATTCCCTCCCCTCCTCCTCTTTCTTCTCCATTTCCTCGTCTCCCTCTCCTCCTCCTTATTATACTCCTCCATAACCCACTAATGCAGACAAGTTAATAGGCTGTTAATTATATGCTGAATTGCCTTATTGTGTTGTTAACGGGACCCTTCCTCTCTTTTCTTGACGATATTATCATAGAGGTATGGTATGTGTGTGTGTGTGTGTGTGTGTGTGTGTGTGTGTGTGTGTGTGTATGGTGTGTGTGTGTTCCTGTAATACCCTACTAACTGGTTGGCTGGGGTGGGTGAATGACGTGACAGTGTTGTGTTTCCTGTATCGAGAGACGGTAATGTTTATAAGGTTCTCAGGGTTGTGACACTAACAGTGGTAGTCGAACGAGCGGTGGTGGTGGTGGTACTACTACTGCCGCGGCTACTACGACTACGACTACCTGTAGTGCCAGAAGGAGCTACCTGTAGCATCTGAAGAAGTAACAACTACTACTCTACATTCTTCAACAGGCATCTACCTTCTCTAAGAACTCGAGGACCTGCTGGTGAACTCCCTCCTCCTCCTTCAGGATGCCCAAAAGAGCCTTGCGAACCTTCCTCCTCTTTGCTGCCGCCAACTGCTTCGTCTTCGTCATCATTGGCTTTGTTGACGTGAGAAAATTACTGTCATTAATGTTATCCTTATTACACTACTAGTAATGTCGCCATTTTTATTATAATTATTATTATTATTATTATTATTATTATTATTACCGGTGCTGCTACAATTGCAGTAAAACTACTACTAATAACAACAACACTAATAATGATAATAATAATAATAATAATAATAATAATAATAATAATAATAATAATAATAATAATAATAATAATAATAAACATTATACTGTCAATAGCTTCCCCCAATTATCTGAAGAAAAACTCTGAACGATAACAACTTTGCTTCTATTAAACATCAGGTTCATATTACCTCTTATCACCTGAAGATTAACCACCCGAACACTGCCTGGGGGTTAATTTAGGTTAGGAGTAGGTTAGGTTAACGTTAGGGTGGTTAAGTTACAGTGGATCCTCTTCTGGATATGACGTTCTGATTATGTTTACTGTTGACAGATGTTAACAGGCAGGCAGAGTCGTCGTGACCAGCAAGTCTCAGTGCTCGGGTATGAGGCGAAGAATGACACACGTTCACCTATCCAGGAATATGAAGTGGAAAGGCTCATGACGGAGAGGCAGAAGGAGGTGGAGGAGCGCTGTGAAGAGGTGTTGACGCCTGAGGAGATGCATCAACCTCCTAACAGCAAAGAGTTCCTGATCAGCGACAAATACCAACTGGTGTGGTGTAACGTGTTCAAGGCTGCCTCCTCCACCTGGCTCAATAACTTCCTCCTGATGTATGACCTAAAGATTAAAAAGATACTGACCAGAAATTCCCCCGTCGAGCAGGCCAGGAAGTTTTATCACCGACCGTCTGTAGAGGTTCTTGACTCCTGCCTCACACAATATAATTACACCTCATTCATCATCGTCAGAGAACCTTTTCAGCGGCTTATCTCTGCCTTCCGAGACAAACTGGAGACCGATAGGAATGAGTTTTACAAGTAAGAACCAATCATATTGTAGCTAACATTGTCCTAACGTTAATTAGATGCTGTTTTCATAGTATTATAAAAATGGTCTCACATAGTAAACAATGGTGGAAGGAATTAGTGTTTAGTGAATCGTTAAACACTCAAGGGATGTTTTATATAGTGATTGGAGCAAGTGAGAGTGATCAAGATGGCGTAGCGGGTAAGTCTTCGCCCCTTACATGAGCTTCCACCAATACGGTATCGTCAAACTAAGCATTTTATACATTAGAAAACCTGAGGGGGTAAACATACATTGAAACTGTTACAATTATTATCAACAAATAATTTACTATATGTTCTGTATATCACTTTGATCTGGAGTCTTACTTCAGGACTTCATACTCTGAACATTGAAGGTCTTACAAGATTCCTGAAGTTTGTAAAAAATTAAATATTTCCAATTCAATTATTTTGTCAATAACCAACATTATATGATCATAAATATATATTAGATAGATAGGTAGAGACAGGTCTATAGATACACATTCAATACACATAATCGTCATAGAAGTTCATATTGGCGTGTATATAGACAGTGTAGGTATACTGTACATTCCTAGTATACAAACAATGTGCATAGACGGTAGAGGTATACAAACAATGGTAAACAGAGGGTAAGTATTGTAGGTTCTCTGTGTTGCAGGTCACTGAGGTGTCAGATCAAACTCAACTTCGGTGACGGGAGACGCACGGGGAAGCTGCGTGGCTGGAGCAGAGACTGTCTTCCCTCCTTCAGCGAGTTCATCGAGTACCTGCTGGACGAGGAAGCTCACGGCAGGTCTCCTAATGAACACTGGGCGCCTTACTACCGCTTCTGCTCCCCCTGTCAGGTGCACTTCACGTACATCCTCCACTTCGAGACCCTCACCCAGGACGAGGCCTTCCTGCTGAAGAAGGTGAGTCCAAGAAGGTGAGTTCGTCCTTGCATGCCTGTGGTAGCTACACCTGATGAACGTTCACTTGTCTCTCAAGGGTACTCGTGGAAGATCTTTGTTTTGGAGAAGTGAGAAAGTTTTGGATGATTTAAAGATATTCCATTATTGGAATATTAGGGTTTGAATCATCAGAGTCTGCCTTCATCCTTCTGGTTTTGATATTCATGGATTTTTTTTTCCAAGTTGTCTAAAATTGTTCACATTAACAAGTTTCTGTGTGTGTGGCGGCGGCCTGGGTCTACTTGGAGCTATTTTCAACGTTCCATCTATATATCTCTATCTTAATCTCTCTATTTATCTCTCCCTCAACTCTATCACCGTTAGTCTCTCTATCACTCTTGTATCTTAGTGTGTTTGTGTGTCTCTGCAGGTGCCTGGGCTCTCGGACGTGTTGAAGCCGCAGAAACTACACAACTCTCACACGAACTACGACAACGTCATCCACAATTACTTCCGTCAGCTCACACGCACCCAGCTCCAGGGTCTACTGGATATATATTCCAAAGATTTTACTATATTCGGATACAAACACGAAAAATACTTCGACTACGTGACTACTTCTTCTTAATAATAATAATAATAATAATAATAATAATAATAATAATAAAAATAATAATATTAATAATAAAATATTACTACTACTTAATACGTGTTCATATCAATATCTGAATCAATCGTAAGTAAATGCATCACTACAACTTTTCTACTCCTACAACTCCCTTCCATCCACACTTTACCCCTTCCACTGAACCTTCTTCACTCGTCACTTGCCGTTTGGTTGTGAATTCAGTTGTCTCTGAAGATGTCTTGAATAAATGCGAAAGTTAAGGTGCTCCATTGTTTCCCTTTTCCTGTGTTTTTATCAAGATATATAAGCATTGATTATGGACAAAAAAAAATTTATCTGGGCCTCTTGTGACCCCCTCTGACCCTTCATACATTACCCGTTCCTACGCCACTGCATCGTCCATTGACTGTACAGCTGCTAGACACCAAAGCTACAAGAACAGCAACTCTCCTGTAGTGTCTGTAACTTGTATGTTCACACCATTTCCTCCCTTGTTTATAATACCAGGCAATATCACCATAAGTAGTCTATGACATCTCTGTTCATTGTGTTAATTATTATTCTTACACGCACACACACACACACACGATCTAGATTTGCCTAAATCTGTGGCATGATTAGTATAAGCGACCTGCACACCTGTCGTAAATAAACAAGCAAACGCACCACACATACCTGTCCACACACATGTTTATCTGAGTTACTGGTATTTTTACTCTTCGTCAGCCTTTTGCAGACACACAATATATCATGAGTCACTCCTTGACACTGTGGTCCTCTGCTGTCTGCTAAGAGATTTTCGTATATTCCAAACCACTTAAGTTACCCCTTGAAAGTAATCATAGAAAACTGAACTCCCAGTAGGCAGGAAACGTGTTATCTGTGACTCAGGAAGCGGGTCGGTCGGTGAGTCCCTGAACTGCTTTCACAATCAACACCAACACCATCATCACTACCACCAAGCCGACAGTGAGAACAGTGCTGTGTGGTGCAGTGACCAAGGGTATTTGCTGTGAGGTGTGACAGTGAGGGGGCCCGAAGCAGTGAGGAGAATGAGGGTGGCGGTGATATTGCCGCTGGTGTTAGTGGTAATCCTCCTACACGCAGAGACAACAGAGGTAAGTAAGGAGAAAGACGCGGAATAAGAAACTCAACTGGTCTCTCTCACAGCAGATTCGGTCTCGTAATGTGACAGTAAAAAACAAGTGAAATATTTAAGTGTAAGTGTTGAAGGCGGTACTGGTCAGGGCAGGTCCAGTGCCAGCAATGCCACCACCCTAATCTACCCGAACGTAACCTTCCCTGACCAATTTTAACCCTAAATTAACCTGATTTTACCTTAAACTAACATCATTTTACCCCAAACTGTTATTATCCAGATTCAAAAAGTTTAGTATATATTCTCCGTAAATGACTGTAAGAATACACCCAACTATTTAACTTTAAACTAAAGAATAAAATAATCTCCATAAATAAGACTCTTATGTTACCTAGATACATTCGCTTACCATTAGTTAGGAAGAATTCTATACGTTAGGTTTGTTTTTTAATTGGTGCTAAGTGAACAGGTTTAGTTAATATAAAGTCTCAATGCAATTTTAAAGCTGTGTTTTTAGATATCATTTACCTTTTTTTTTAATTCACCTATCATTGGATAGTGAATCAGCCTACCTGGTACCGTCAGCTGCCAATGGACGCCTGTTGTCTATAGATAAGTACGACAGCTGGGTACCAGTTTTTGAGAGTTTTATGGACTGGCGACAAGTGCGTCCTCTCTCATGGGTGTTCACAGAGCTAAGATAAGCAGTGGGAATTCGTATATTCCAGAAAAACGGCAAATCGTCAAATGTTAGAAAACTACCACAATACAAGACCGTTAATTGATACTTATTGTTTTTTCCTGGGATGATAAGAACCAAAGTTAACCAAACCTCAAAGATTTCTATTAGGTTTTATTTGGTTGGGGTGTGCTGTTTCCTATAAGAAAAATTAATAAATTATAAGAAAAAAGTTTGGTAATCTTGTTCGTGTTAGTTTTCAACACTGCACACTCTTGATATATAGACGGAACAATAATAATATAACTAACACACCTCTGCCACCTGTCTGTATCATCTGTGTAACTGGGTGGCCTTTTTTTTCCATGCATAGAGTGAGAATAACCATATATTTCAGAAGACTTCATTTCACCCTTCATAGCGTCAGTAATTTGCGTACTTTCGTTCCAACAATCCTCCAGGTATCCCAACCCCTCTAATGTATTTACAAAAACATAGGTCTGTACTGTTGAATTACTTGGACATAACTGTATTATTCACCACGTACAGAAAACGGAGTACTGTGCACATATCGATGTCCTGTACGTGAAATTTCCTCAAATAACTGTCAACACCAACATCAAGGGACTTTATAAACACGACGTAAATCCCATTCTTTGAGTCGATTCTGTCTTCTCCGTATAACATAAATCCGATGCGATTATTTTTGTATCTGTACCTGTAACTGTCTGTGTTTGTGCTTTTGTACCTGTATCTGTACCTGTAACTGTCTGTGTTTGTGCTTTTGTACCTGTATCTGTACCTGTATATGTACCTGTATCATTGTACCTGAACTAACAAAATGAACGTCAGATACAGATGGGAGGTGAAAAGTCTGATACCCTTTGTTTACATTTAAGGGAGATGTGAAGGTGGACTCTGGAAGCTGTCAGGAGCCTGGTTCTCACACGACTGACAGCTGCCGTGACGGAGGTAAGAGAGTGAGAGACCCTTCCGGGGCACGTGTGGCCTCTCCTGGTTTACGAACATAAAATAACAGAGACTTGCCATTTTCTCTTCATCGTGTCTCTTGTCTTCTCTGAGATATTATTATATGTATAGTAATGTTATGGTAATGTTTAAGACCTAAGGGGCATGGCTATAAATGTTATGGTAATGTTTAAGACCTCAGGGGCATGGCTATAAATGTTATGGTAATGTATAAGACCTAAAGGGGCATTGCTATAAATGTTATGGTAATGTGTAAGAAAGTTTGTTGTGGGAATATTTATGATTAAACACAAGACGGGATTTAAAGCCACATTTTTTTTACTTGAATTGGGTCATAAATATGCAAAAACATCCGGGTTATGAATTTTTTAATGTGTTCGTATCCCCTGAAACAGATGACGGAGGCGAGGTATCGGACGAAAGGAAACAGGAGACAGGAGACAGAAAAGGAGAGGAAGTGAGAAAGAGAAGAGATGGCAAAGTAGGAAAAGAGAACAATGTTGATGACTACGAGAGAGACGATTGGAAGGTGGAGAAACATCACGGTAAATATAGGAAGAAGCACTGGGAAGAGAGTGAACTTAATACACAGAGGAAGAAATACGAACACAGGGATAATGATGATGATGATGATGATGATGATGATGATGATGATGATGATGATGATGATGATGATGGAAAAAGGAAAAAATACAAGGGAAAATATCACAAAGAATGGAAAGGAAAAAAGAAGGAGAGTCCGGGTCATAATTCACAAGGAAAGAAAAACAAGGAAAAGAAAGGAAATAAACAAGAGGGAGGAAAGAGATATAAGAGCATAGGTAAGCGAGGAAAGAATGATAAAGACGAGAGAGAAGTACGTGATAAACACAAGATAGAGGAAGGAAAAGAGAATAAGGGTAGATCCGAGGAGAAACAGCACGAAAGAGACAAGACACACTACAAGGAAGATAATAAGAAGAAATATGAAGAAAAACACAATAAAGATTACAAGAAGAATAATAGTGAAGATAATAACAACAACAAACATCAGAAAGACGAAAAGAAGAAGACAAATGAAAATAATAAAAGAGACAAAGAAAATAATAAGAACAAGAAGAATAAAGTAGAATATGAGCATAATGAAAAACACCAGAAAGACAAGAGGAATGAGAAGGACCATAAAAACAGCGACAAACACCAAAAAGAAGACATAGAGAAGAACAAAATTTATGAAAAGAAACGAAAAGAAGAACAGCTTGGGAAAGATCTTGACCATAATAAAAAAAATAAGAGGGAAGAAGGAAAGGAAAATAAATATAACAAAGTACAAAACGGCAAAATAACAAAAGAATCAAAGAAGAACAAGCACGTCAAAGAAAACGAAGGTATAAAATTCACAGAGAATGGATCAGACGGCATTGAAGGGGTGACTGAGGAGAACAAGGGAGGTGACTCAAATGGCCCCACAGCCGGAGAAAGTGAAATGGAAGTGGATAAAGAAATCCGTGGTAAAAGGAAGAGTGAAGAGGAGAAGAGTTCAAGTGATGAGGTAGTGAGTAGAGAGGCGGAGGGCGGTGAGAATGAAGAACTTCTTGCCTCAGGAATACAGGATGAGAAAGGAAGTTCTTCAGATCCTGCAGATGATGTTAACGACCCCCAAGCCGCTGCCATGGAGAGTAAAGACACATGTGGAGATCCTAGCGAAGGAATAGTTCGTGATTATGACTTTATAGGGACTGGAGGCCTTGTGAAGCGTAATAACAAAGTCATCATCGGTGAAGCAGAGTTTATCGACCTTGAAGTTGACTACTCAGAGCGGCTGGAGGACGGCGAGTTAGATGGGAGAGAGTCAGGAGGCCAGGCTGGGGAAGAAGTAACGGAGCCAGACGGTGTTACCTATGGGTCAGAGGTTCCTGGAGGTGAAGGAGACCATCAAGAAACAGGAGGTGAAGATGTAAATAAAGAAGCAGAAGGGAATATAAATGACGGAGAAATCCAGCAAAATACCGAAGGAGAAGCCAAGTCTGACTCTGAAGAAGGACAGACAAGTGAGGAACGAGAACAAGATAAAGTGGAGGACAAAGTGGAAGCCCCAGAAGGACAGGAGGGCGCTGACAATGGAAACTCTCTGACACAGGAAACATCTGAGACCAAATAGACCACAGGCTGGATGTTCTGAGTTTCGTACAATAGAATATGTCCTAGAAATTAGAGACGTGACCACACACTTGATTGCCTCACCTGAACGACTTACCGTAAAGCCACCGGGCTAAATGAAGTCAACATTCCGCACGTCTCTACACCATAACAAGGTCGATTGTTTTTACCTTCGGTTACTAGAAAAAAAAATAGCGTACAAAAGTTTGAAAATCTGACCCTGGGAGGTTCTGTTGATGGTGCAGTGAAGGAGGACGTACAGGGAGGCGATCTATTACGAGGGTTAACTATAATGATGTTGACTCAGCTGATAAATAGACAGGTATATGAAGAATATCTAAGCAGATGGAAGGACCCAAAGTCGAAGATTTACACAAGTGAAAAGTTCCAAAGTCAGAGTCCTGATTCTCAAATATCCTTATGATAAATATTCATCATAACTTGAAGACTTAATACTCACCTAACTAGTGATTTAAGGAAAGGTTTTAAAGGGTAAACTCTGTCATATCTTTAAAGGCCGCGTGAGGCGAGTGTGTGTGTGTAACAGCGATGCTTCAGAAACCAGAATGAGGGAGGACAGGAGAAAGTTTTAGTGACACCAGTGTGAAAGTTACTTGTGGTGAGGGAAGATGTAACTCCCTATATTAATTTCAGTTTGTTGATAATTTTTGTATTAATAAGTTTACTGAATTTAACGACTAATATATTGGTTTAGGAGTTAAGGAAGAATCTTTGTTGTATGTGATAGTTTAGCTTCTCTTCCTTGCAACACTTAACCTAACGCAGTACTGCCTCTCCCTGCAACACTTACTCTTATACAACACTGTGTGTCTCTAAGTCCCTTCTACTCGAGTTATTATTTTGTGATGAAAACATTATTTATTAATTGTCATAAAAATATTAGGATATAATTGATAATCCTGAGTGCATTATTTAGTTTATACATGCGGGTGCAGGTTCCACACCCACACACACACCCACACACACACCCACACACACACACACTCACACACACACACACACACCCACACACCCACACACACCCACACACACCACACACACACACACACCCACACACACACACACTCACTCACACACACCCACACACACCCACACCCACACACACCCACACCCACACACACCCAACAATTTACTTTGAGAGACAATGTTTTGTTTTTCTGTCTCTTAAACATTACAATAAAAAATACATGTTAAATTATCCCCCTTTTTATGTATTATTTAATTTCTCCTTTATTTACAAGTCGGGAAAATAAAACAATAAAAATATAACCTGATTTTCCTTTAATTTCCTTTTAGTGTATTGGATATTATTGAGGTTAATCACAATACTCCGCGCTATTATAATTAGTTAAGTGTTTTTTCTTTATCAACGTAAGTCAAAGATAGAAATCGTATACTTAAATTAATTATTTTATATATGTATTTCACGTAAGGCAAAAATTTCATTATATATTTTTTTAGGTAGATGGAAAAAAATATTTTGTTAGTTTATATATTTTTTTTAAGGTTAATGTAACATGGTTAAGTATATGTTTATGTTAAAAATAAGATCTACTTCTTAAAGTATACTTATTTATACAAAAAACACAAAAGAAACAAATCCTGAATCTATTTCATTTGTAATAGACATACCTGTATGTACTCAGGTGTATCCAAGGTGATTACATGTACTCAGGTGTACACAAGCTGATTACATGTACTTAGGTTATGTACACAAGCTGAGTGCTTACAAACAATTCTAAAAAGACGTGATTAAGCACGCACACACACACACACACACACACACACACACACACACACACACACACACACACACACACACACACTAGAAAAGTCCTAGACATTCAGAAACTCACACAACACATAAACACACTTCAGAACTGTCACATAAGACATGACGCATACTGATTGGTCCTTTCCTACCTTGAAGTCTACTGATGTGCGGGCATGCAGTGCGCTGATTGGTGCTTGCCTACCCACTACGAGGTTAAGTTTACTTTAAGGATACCTTAGGCTAGTTCACACTGGTGAGAACGTAGAGGGGCGTGACGTCATCGATTACAAAAAACCATCACGTTCGCGTTAATGTGGAAGAGAAAGCCTATTGGTGGCCACACTTCGGTCCCTGGTAAGTCCCTCTCAAGTTGTTGATCGGGACGCCCACGGCGACGAAATGTTTCTGGCAGAGGGCGATCTGGAACGAGGACCAAACGTTAGTAAATAAACTTAGATATTAGGCTTAAACTGATCATTTGTTGTCATAGTTAATGGAAGAGGTAAGGAGGAGTAGGAGTGGCAGTAGGGGGGGGGGTCTGGATGTGAGAACCGTAATCAACCCTCAAATACAATAATGAATTCAAGGTTAAAGGTAATCTTGCTTCACTCTGATTCGTTTACTCAAAGTTTGAATCACATCCATATTGTTACAGTTAGATTCATATTCTCAAAAAAAAAACCCGATTCTGAATCACACGAACGAATTTACAGCAGGACTTACATTCGCTCTGCTTAACGTTGATTTTCTTGAGAAGATCCAAGCAAACATCACTTTATGAGTTCCTTGGAAGTTGTAGCAGGTGAACAAACAGGCGTAGGTGACGAAGTCCGTCCCCAGAACTACCATCTCCGCTTCGATGTCTGCAACGTGAGGGTAAGTGGTGGTAATAGGTGAGGGTGATGGTGGTAACAAAGGTCACTAGTTCTAAAAGGTCGCTACAAAAACTACCGTGAAAAGTAGGATGTGATGAATTTCACAATGAACACTACGACTCCTACTGTCAATCCACACAAAAGAGTTTTTTTTTTTCCAGAGCTATTGTCGTACTGTACAAGAGACCCCAATTACATTCGGCGTGTGCATCCTCCTCTCACCTCTCACGTGTGTGGAGTATCGTGCGATGCCGGGAGTTACCGTCACCAGGGTCTTGTTCTGGATTGTTGGGTCCCCGTTCCTCGCCACACCAGTTGACTCGACAAAGAACCCCGAGCCTGGAACATATCAGAAGGTGAAGTAATTGGATCTGGAACGACAAGGTGCTATACGTACTTATAAACGGAGTAACTTATCTGTGTCGACGTAGTTATAGAACACAATAACTCACCCGTGTCGACGTAGTTATAGACACAATAACTCACCCGTGTCGACGTAGTTATAGAACACAATAACTCACCCGTGTCGACGTAGTTATAGAACACAATAACTCACCCGTGTCGACGTAGTTATAGACACAACAACTCACCCGTGTCGACGTAGTTATAGACACAATAACTCACCCGTGTCGACGTAGTTATAGATGGTACAGTTAACGGAGCGCTCTTCATAATTGGGTAGTCCTCCAACTCTGTACCAGCTACCTGCAAACTGAGTAACAAGAGAGAGAGAGAGAGAGGGAGAATTAGATTAGTAAAAATAAAATAATTAGATCTTCAAATTAACAATAAACAGATGGAGATGACGGATGAAATTGAAGCAACGAAGAAGATTGACGAAATTAAAAAAATATATATATAAAGAAACCTTTGTGATGGCTACCTGTGATCTCCATTTGTTTATTTACGCCTGAATGGAGGGTGACCCAAACAGTATCTCCTCCTCCTCCTCCTTCCTACTCCTCCATTACCTCTCCTCCTCCCCAGCTGTTGCCAACATAAAGACCTCAGGCTGGGTTTTCCCGTCTCGTCAAGTGAAAGTACACAAGAATGTACCTACTATAATGTATGCCTCGTCCACGTATTGTTGCGTCATTAATTTGTTTCTATATTTGTTACTCCCATTCCGTTGTTTGTGTTTTTGTTCTTCATTTATTTCAGTTTTTATTCGTTTGGTTGTTATTTCACACAGTAAGAAACAGAGAGAGAATTGTAGAAATGAAACCTAACCAAACCTACTCTAACCTAACCTATAGCCTTCTGTCTCACCTGGGGCAGTATTCCCCACGATTCTTAAACGGGGGTTAAATTTCATGGTCATTAGGGACATAACTTGAAGGAAGGGGAAAAAACTAGTTTATAATAGTCCACCAGGATTAAATATTTCGAATGGCATATGAATCCACGTGTGTTGGTATGGATCAGGTATTGTGTGAAGATTGAAGTGTGTCTTGGGTGAGATATTACCATGATTCACACACTACCATGATTAACACACTACCATGGTTCCCACACTACCATGGTTCCCACTACCATGATGCCAGAAAGTTTAATCCCCATCAGATTACAGCTCAAACCGTGAATCTCCTCTCCCTGTATTTATTATAAGATTATCTCTGTACCTCTTTTATTGTTTTATCTTCTCTTTATTTTATCCCTACGACTCTGCTTCTCCTTCTGCACCTTCGTCAGGATCTTGTAACATCTCTCTACTTGGCACCGCCACAGGATGAATATATTTACCAAGTTTATGTGTAAATAAACTCCCTATCTGATTCAACTCGACCCGACGTATATGGAAGCTGACGTCAGACGAATATAAATATCACCGTCAGGAGGAGGGCTCCCTTGGAACACACATGTGAAGATATTTAGCCAACATTCCACCCCCCCCCCTCCAAGAATGCCCCCATCGTCGGGAGAAAGACGCCCTCTAGAATACTTACTGACGTGGTGTTGAAGTTCTTGGCCAGCTTGACAATGGGGCAGAGACCTTTGACGAGTAGGCCAGTGCTGTTACCCGTGATAGACTGGGACTGAGCCACTGTCCACGTCAACGCCAGTATCGCCACCATCACCTGCCTGTAGAAGGAGGAGCAGGAGTTTACACACACTAAATCAACAGGAGTACTTTAGGACGACTCTCGACTCTGTGTGTGTGTGTGTGTGTGTGTTTAGTACACAGTAAATAACAGCTGCCGAGAAATGAGCTCTTGGTAGACATTAGCCAAGATAATTGACCCTTAAGTAAATGTCATAAATTATCTGTCTTCAGAATCTCATCCAAATAATCCAGCAAAAAGTTGATGATAAACCAGTTGGAACCTTGTGTGTGTGTGTGTGTGTGTGTGTGTGTGATACATGACAACAGACCAACGGGGGAGAGAGAGAGAGAGAGAGAGAGAGAGAGAGAGAGAGAGAGAGAGAGAGAGACAAACACGAAATAAATCCACCACTAACGGTATGAGGTAGGAGAGAGAGAGAGTGTGTGCATTAATCTGGTTGCCTCAATATCAATCCAGGTCTCCAAAAGGTGATAATCTTACGACACTAATCTCTCAACCTTAAAGTTTTAACCGGATTATGAGAGTAAGGTTAGGTTAAGTTAAGCTGTTAACATAGTCTCTAACACTCGTTTAAACACATGATATTGGCTTAAAGTAAAAAGAATTCAAGGTTAATTTCTCCCTCTGTCCCTTACCTGTTAACCATGCCTCGTTATGAGTGAATCGCCTCATTAGCTAGTTGCTATCTATATGCCTACGTATTTACAGAGCGATCTCTTGAAAGGCAACACGGATAATTGATGGAAAGAAACAGACACAGACACAGACACAGACACAGACACAGACACAGACACGATCAAAAACAGCATCATTCTCTCTGACCTCCTTGGGCCGTGGGATAAACAAATGTATTTACAGGTCACACGTCGGTACATCAGAAAATTAAAGTACTAGTGTGGACAGTCGTAAACAATCGCGTGTGTCTAAACTTACCCAGAGAACACGAAGGGGGTTGACATGCTGGAGGTCAACTACGGAGAGAGAGAATCAACACCTCCTTAACTCTTCCGACAGCAAACACGAACTAGCACACTTCTGTCTCTGATCCACATGAACCAAGCCCAATGAGTATGTGGTGGTAAGGTGGGGTAACGTGATAAGTTACCAAGTTATGCATTAAAACGACATATTTTTCCCTCATTCAGAATCTAATATTGACAATTAAAATTTAAGATTCACTTAGATATATAAAAATAACACGTAATATGTAAATACAATGGAACGAGTAAATGAGATGGTTAGGCAGAAACTGTTCGATATTTATGTATGATCTGGCACCTGTTGAGTTGCCAGAGTTATAGTTCGTCTAGCTGTAATAACACAAGGACGAAGTAAAAGGAAAATGTTGCGTTCATGGAGTCTGTTAGGTAACCTGTGAGTTTTTTGTGGTAACAGTGATAACACGTTATTCATATTACTTCGACATTGAGAGATATATTTATAGGTGTGTGTGTGTGTGTGTGAGTGCTTATGCAAGGAGGACTACACACAAAGTTATGCTACAATACACTTAACTATCCCAAGAAAGTTCATTGTTATGTAATGCCATGTATTCTGTAAACAAAATCATGAACGGAATCTGTAAACACAAACATCAAGGGACTCTGAAAATAGACCCCACAAAAAATTTTGATACAAGACCAATATTAAAGACTTGTAGAGATCATGTACATATAAATACAGAAAGATACATATAAAATCGTACACAAGTCGTGTTTTTACAAGTCGTTTCGCACACAAGTCGTTTATGTTTTACGGTATTGAAAATATGAATGAAAACAATGAACTACCTGTAACGTGATCACAACCCTTAACTATGTAAACAACACTGCTGTGATGAGGAACAAGAGGGAGAGTTATGGATGTTTTTTTAATCTAATGTACGAAATGATTCATGACTTGTGTAGGAAACAACGATAATTCCTGTGTAATGAAGGTTGTAGAGTCTCTGGGGGACTGAAGAGGTTGTACAGGGCCCTGGTGACCTATGGAAGTCGAGAATAGGTTTTGGAGAGCCCAGATAAGCTATAGAGGTCCTAGGGAGGCTTTGGAGTGGTCTGGCGAGGCTGGAAGAGAGGCCGGGGGGAGGGTGTGGAGAGGAGGTCTGCTAGTGGCCACACTCGGTACCTTGGTACGTTCCTCTCAGCTGGGCCAGAGGGACGCCAACCTTGAGGAAGTGCTTCTGACAACCAGCGATCTGTGGACGTTAGGTTTGGTTAGGTTAAGTTATACATAATCTACAGGATGTTTAGATAATTCTCTCGATATTTGGGGCTTAGAATCCCTTGAGGAACTTAGACATCCTAAACATGGGTGTGAACTCTACCAGCTTCTACACATAACTGTAGTCATCAGTGCCTCTTCTAAATGATTCCATAGACTAGCAAATGGAGTCGTACTGAACACATCACAAACAGCAGGCCTAAATGTCAATGATGGAGAGGAGACTTGAATTCTGGAGGAGTAACTTCCACAACGGACTGTAAACACTAACAACAAGGGACATTGGAGCTGAGGGTGGGTCCAGGTGCTGTAGTTGCTTCTGGTGCATTGAGATCCCTACATACGTGTGCCTGTAGGTGAGTTAATTATGTTGGTGAAGGAAACATTACCTGTGAGTGAATCTGACAGTCATGTTGGGGCATTGTTTGGATGTGTAATTACGAGAGCTATTTTTGGTTAGCCAGGAGGAGGGAGTATGTGTTATCCGGTGATAAGAACAGGAGTAAAGATATTATACACTGATGGTTCTTGTTCGTAGATACTCTCAAACATTTCCTCTCCTGTTAAACCCCTCACTAACCTCACCACAAGAGAGTTCGAGGTACACACACACACACACACACACACACACACACGAAAACACATCCTGGTAGTGCTAATGAAGTGTGAAAGATTGCTATTGAAAAAAATAATTATAACAACAACCAAAACAAAAATAAAATAAAACATACATCAGCAATAAACAACAACATATAACAAGAACAACAATACCATAAAAGGATATACACATTAACATTGGTCAGGAAAGGTCATAGGTCAAATTGATTTAACTCCTACCTTTTGGCGTTCGAGTTCCAGGGTTCTTGACAGAATCCAGGCCACGAGAGCTTTGTGAGAACCCTGGAAGTTGTAGCAGGTGAAGAGGCAAGCGAAGGTGGTATAATCCGTCCCTAGAACCACCATCTCCGCGTCAAAGGCTGTAAACATAGTGATAGGTGAGTGTGAGGGCGGTAGGTAGTTGTGGTAGGTAGTGATAGGTGGTGGTGGTGGTAGGTAGTAATTGTAGGTGAGGGTAGTAGTAGTAATAGTGGCAGTAGGTGAGGGTAGTAGTAGTAGTACGTAGACAAGATTCAAAGGTCCACTACGACAGAACGACAGCACGGCCAAAGTGATAAGTTGCAGCAACTGTTGCTACAAGTACCAGAGAATCTGAAGAAAAAAATGTAGGGCAGGAGGTGGCGCGCCTCGAACTGGTTAACCACGTTACCGATAAGGGCAAATGGTTTCAGTCTCAATAAACAAGAATTTACATATGTAAATGCTCTAAGGTACGGTAGGCCAGTAGAAGGTTTGCCCTCCCAATACGTGTGTGGCTCTTCCTAAGACGTCGATTACTCCATGGTGTGCAAGAAAGGGGGCTTCATATGCATGAGGCATGACGAAGTAAGGGATCTCACAGCAAATATGTTGAAGGAAATCTGCCGTGATGTCAGGGTAGAACCGACCCTCCTTCCATTGGACGGTGAGATTTTCCAACATAGGACTTCAAACACATCCAACGAAGCCCGTGTTGACGTCAGTGCTCGAGGATTCTGGACGCGGGGACAGCGAACCTTCTTCGACATCAAGATTTTTTATCCCATGGCCGCATGTCACCGTAACTTAGCTCTTGATGCTGCACACAGGAGAAACGAGAACGACAAGATAAGGGAATACGGGGAGAGAATTCAGAACGTGATCTAGGCAGCTTCACTCCTCTAGTGTTCACAATCTCTGTGGATGGGACCAAGTGCAAGATGCTTCTACTCCAGACTCGCGGAGGTGATATCCGAACAGAAGCAGCAGCCCAGAAGTTATGTTACAGCCTGGATGAGATGTCGACTGCCCTTCTCTCTCCTTAGGTCGGCTTTGCTCTGCCCCAGGGGAACGAGAGCATCGGCCCCAAAGCCGCCAACAGTTGCAGATATTGACTTTGAGGCAACAGTCACTGAATGCCGCATAGATCTGCGGCTCAACTAACTCAACACAGCTAGGATAGCTACTTATGTATTAAGATATTTAATATTAAGGTAATAAGGGAGTTATTGGGGGAGGATGGAGACCAATTAAAAAAAGTAGTCGTAGTCGTTGTGGTAGTAAGGAAAGTAGTAGTATTGGTAACAATGGTATAGTAATGGTGGTAACTCTCTCTCTCAAAAAACCCACACCACACCACACCACACCACACCACAACACAACACAACACAACGTCCTCCTTACTTTTGACTCGAATGGAGAATTTGCCCTGGCTTGTTGTAGTCTGGGTGATTGTGTTGCTCTGGACTACTGCTCCATCTCTCCCCTGGCCGTCGGCTATAACATTGTAACCAGATCCTGTAAGTAAAAAATGAATCCATAAGATCCATGTGTATGTTTTGTTACGGTGAGACGGCCATGGGGAGGGCTTAGCTAGGAGGGTCCAGGGGTCCTGTCTTTATCGTGGGATCCCTTGGCTGATATACGTAAGTGAATGGCTGGCTGACATATTTAAATGGATGACTGAGTGACATTCGTACATGATTGACTGGCTGATATACTCGTGGCGTACATAGACGCCTAGCTGACATACATAAATGTTTGACTGGTTGACATACACGAGTGGGTGTACGTGTGTTCAGTAGAAGAGGAATGATCTCTTTGAGAGGTGGCGGTGGAAATAGACCCCAGTCCTATAGACCCCATTCCTTATAGACCCCAGTCCTAATAGACCCCAGTCCTAATAGACCCCAGTCCCAAAGACCCCATTCCTAATAGACCCCATTCCTAATAGACCCCATTCCTTATAGACCCCAGTCCCATAGACCCCAGTCCTAATAGACCCCAGTCCCATAGACCCCAGTCCTAATAGACCCATTCCTAAAGACCCCATTCCTAGACCCCAGTCCTAATAGACCCCAGTCCTAATAGACCCCAGTCCTACAGACCCCAGTCCTAATAGACCCCAATCCTATTAGGCCCTAATTATAATAGACCCCAATCCTTATAGACCCCAGTCCTAATAGATCGTAGTCCTAATAGACCCCTGTACCTAATAGGCCCCAACCAAACCTATCGTAAATTAACCAAATTTTCGTGTACGTAAATTAACCAGTCATTCCTGTAGTACGTAGTTATAGAACACAATAACTCACCCGTGTCGACGTAGTTATAGAACACAACAACTCACCCGTGTCGACGTAATAGAACACAATAACTCACCCGTGTCGACGAGAGACACAATAACTCACCGTGTCGACGTAGTTATAGAACACAACAACTCACCCGTGTCGACGTAGAGAGAACACAAACTCACCCGTGTCGACGTAGTTATAGAACACAATACCACCCGTGCGACGTAGTTATAGAACACAATAACTCACCCGTGTCGACGTAGTTATAGAACACAATAACTCACCCGTGTCGACGTAGTTATAGACAAAATAACTCACCCGTGTCGACGTAGTTATAGACACAATAACTCACCCGTGTCGACGTAGTTAGAGACAATAACTCACCCGTGTCGACGTAAGAGAGACACAATAACTCACCAAGTCGACGTAGTTATAGACATAACTCACCCGTGTCGACGTAGTTATAGACAACAATAACCACCGTGTCGACGTAGTTATAGAACACAATAACTCACCCGTGTCGACGTAGTTATAGAACACAACAACTCACCCGTGTCGACGTAGAGACACAATAACCACCCGTGTCGACGTAGTTAGAACACAATAACTCACCCGTGTCGACGTAGTTAGAGACAATAACTCACCCGTGTCGACGTAGTTATAGAACACAACAACTCACCGTGTC